TGATCTTTGCAAAGCAGATATATTAAAATGCTTATCAGGATGCTTTTCACTTTTATTTGCATGACATTGAACATCTTTTTGTAAGTGTAGAGTCTCGATATGTTTATTGTTAGTTGCTTGTTTGTAACCTTTGTTTTTCCTCTTTTATACTTAGATCTATCATTTCAGTTGATTTTTGTGTGTGGTATAGAAAGCCAGGCATAGTGGTGCACTCCTTTAATCCCAGAATTTGGGAGGCAGAGACTGGCAGATATCTGTGACTTTGAGGCCAGTGTGATCTACAAAGCAAGCTCCAGGACAGCCATGGCTACACAGAGAAATGCTGTCTCAAACAAACAAACAAACAAACAAACACAAAAAAAGAAGAGAGAGAAGTAGGAGTATAGGTTCATTTTTACCACATGCATATTCAATAGCTTTGCATAACTTTTGGAAGAGCACTCTTTCCTTGTTCATTGCAGTTACAGCTTTATTATAAATCAGTTGTGTGTGTGTGTGTGTGTGTGTGTGTACGTGTGTGTGTGTGTGTGTGTACGTGTGTGTATGTGTGTGTGTGTGTGTGTGTAATCCGCAAACCTTTTCAACTGCCTTGTCTTTTCTTTTTTTAAACAGAGTCATACTCTGTAGCTCAGGTTTACTTTAACTGTGGCAATCTTCTTGTCTTAGCTTCCCTAGTACTGCTATTATAGGCATAAGCCACCAAACTGTGTTGTTTTCTTTTATGTAGCCTCCTCCATCCAGACTGTAGTTCAGGCCAGCCGTGAGCTCTCAGTAGTTCCCTAGCCTCACCTTCCTGGATGCTAGGATATCAGGCATGTTGCTAATCTCACCATATCTTAATTACTGTGCATTCTAAATATCAATGGGTAGTGCTTAAGTCCTCCAACTTTGTTCTCCAAGATTTCTTTGTTAGCTTTTGTTCTTTGTGTTTCTAGCCCATTGATTTGTGTAAGAAATATTGCTGAGAATTTGATTATTGTTATAGTTAATCCAGAAATCAAAGGGAATGTTGGCACATTCCCCTTGTAGAGTCTTTAAGGCTGGGAACATTTGTGTCTGTATTTTAGTGCTGTTTTATATTTTCCCTAGGGCTCTAAAGTGCCTTTCATTAGATTGCAATAGTATGTTGGCATCACAGTGGCTGATTGTGTGAATCTCTTCCCATCCTCACAGTCAGACTGCAATGGGCCTTGGTGGTAGCATTATCTCATGGCACTTGGCAAATACTGCAAATCTGAACTTTTCTCACCAATCATAACCATTATCTGATTGCTCTCTATATGCTAACATATCACTTAAATTTATTGCTAAATGTGCACATTTATAATGTTATATGAATGATATTTCTTATTCAAAAACTAGAACAATAGAGTAAAATTCATGCTTTTGATATACTATCCTGTGGCTTTGACAAGTTTATACAATCATGTTATGATACCATGATCAGAATATAATCTTTACAAAACTCCACATATTTTTCCTCTCTCTGTAGTCAATTTCTTCTTTTACTCAACTTATAGCCACCACTAATTTACTTAGCCTGCTACTGACATTTCCTATAAGTGGGACCATGTAGTATATTGCTGTTTAAGTGAGATTCATGGTGAGATTAAATCAGGTTGCAAGAATCAGTAGTTCATTCCTTTTTTCTGGTAAGTAATATCCCATTGTGTGAATATACTGTTTGTTTATTCAATCCCCAGCCAAGGAGCATCTGTTTACAGTTCAAAACATTAACCAGCATGAATAGAGCTACTGTAAACATCTCTGGATAAGCTTTTCTGTTTTTATTTATATTGGGGAAATTTCTAGAAGAGGTATATCTGAGTCTTTGGGTAAGTATATATGCAGCTCCATGAGAAACAAACTATTTGCAAATATGCTGTCCAGTCTTGCCTTCTTACTTGGAAAATCTTAGTATTCTGTTTACTTGCATTTTCCCCCCAAGACAGGGTTTCTTTTTTTTTTAAGAGTTATTTACTTATTTATTTTCTTACATTTACAATGTTTTGCCTGCATGCCACAAGAGGGTATCCAGATCTCACTATAGATGGTTGTGAGAATTGAACTCAGGACCTCTGGAAGAACAGCCAGTGCTCTTAAGTCTGAGCCACCTCTCCAGACCTTGCTTCACATTCTTGTCAGCACTTGGCTTTTCTTTTCTTTCTTTCTTTCTTTCTTTCTTTCTTTCTTTCTTTCTTTCTTTCTTTCTTTCTTTTTTTTTGAGACAGGGTTTCTCTGTGCAGCTCTGTCTGTTCTGGAACTTATTTGTAGACCACGCTGGTCTAGAACTCTCAGAGATCTGCCTGCCTTTGCTTCCTGAGTCCTGGAATTAAAGGCAAGGGTCGCCACTGCCAGCTTGGTTTTCTTTAAGTGTGTAGTATTATCTTTTTTATTTTTTATTTTTGGGATTATAATATAATTATGGTATATTTCCCTTCCTTTTTTCTCTATAAACCTCCCCTTATACCTCACTTGCTCTCTTTCAAATTCATGGCCTCTTTTTTATTGTTATTATAGTCATATATGTGTATATGTATGTATTCCTAAATATAGCCTGCTGAGGTGGTATAATCTTACTTGTCTGTATTAGGACTGACTATTTGGTATTGGATAACCAATTGATTGGTGCACTCTTGTTTGGGGAAGACTGTTTCTTCTGCTCAGCATTCCTTAGTTGCCTGTAGTTCTTTGTGTAGGGCTGAGGCCTCATGGGCTTTCTCTGTCCACTTTGGCATGCCTATTGATGTCACCCTCATTCAGCTCAGTCATCTTGGTGAGAGTTTGTGGTTGTAACTTTTGACATTACTAAAAGCACAATCTCACAGCAACTCCTTGGTCCTGAGATTCTTACAATCTTTCTTCCTCCTTTTCAGTAATGTTCCATGAGCCTTGTGTGTGGGAGTGTTGGTAGGCGTATCCATTCTGAATGGGCTCTATAACTGTACATTTTGATTGGTTGTGGTATTCTGTAGTGGTCTCCATCTGCTGCAAACAGAATTTTCCTTGATGAGGGAGGGTGAAGACTCCACCTATCTATGGGTATAAGGACAAATGGTTAGATTGTTGTTAGTGATCATGCTCACACACAAAACTTGTGCTAACCTTCTCAAGAAGAGGGAAACCATGTTCAGTAGTAGGTACTGGACACCTACTACTCAGGGCCAATGGAGTCATGAGTCTTGGAGGAAAACCTACAGCCCACACTCTACTAAAACAGCACAATCCCTCATATTATTTTTTAAAGGAAGTTTTGTTTTTTTTTATTTTCTGTGTAGAGTGTTTTGCCTGCATCTTTATCACTTGCATGCAGTGCCTGAAGAGACCAGAAGAGGGCATAGAAACCCTTTTCTTACTACATAGCCCAGGCTAGCCTCAAATCCAAGGTCCTCTTGCCCCAGCCTTGCCAATTATTGGATTGCCACCATCTGCCACCATGTCTACCAGTACAGTGAGTTTTTAAATCTAAAAATTAATTAACATATTGATTATTATACTTAGCTGCAAAGGGTTAAAATAGCCCAAACTAATATTAATGAAATGAATAAGAGAAGCTTTCCACACTACAGGCAATGAATTTTCTAGTCTATTTCAATTAAGATAGAGTGTTATTGGTAATGGCATAGGACAAGTTTGATTTCTCTTATTCTTTATCCAAGTATCAATTCCTGACAGATTTAAATATCAAAAGTAAAACTTTAAAGCACAATAGATGTGAATATTTCTTAGGTTTTTCATAAGGAGTTTGTATGCTAAATATGTAAGAATATTATAATACTTTTTAAATTACCAGTTGCTCTACAGCAGCATTAACTTGTGAAGAGTGGAAAGGCACCTGTGTGCTTGGGCTGCAGTGTTGCAGGTTGGGTGTAAGTTGTTCTCCTCCTGTTTTCTATTTGTCCTTTAAATGCCTCTTGTGTTTGGATGTTCATTTCTTCCTCAGACTGGGAAAATGTCTGCTGTAATTTCATTAAATACTCTGTGCTTTAGTATTTACCTTAATGCCTTCTATCTTATGCTTCTTAGAGTTGGTCTCTTGATTGGGTTCTAGAGTTCCTGGTCATTTTGGTCATTCTTTTTTTTCTGTTTATTTTTTTAAAATATGGGGTCTGGAGAGCTGACTCAGTGCCTAAGAGTACTTGTTGCTCTTCCAGATTGACCTGAGCTCAGTTCACAGTGCCCACATCAGGTAGCTCACAACTAGCTATACCTCCAGCTCCAGGGACCCAGTGCCCTCTTCTGGCCCCATTGACATTTGCACACATATGGCATACTCAGTCAGAGGTACATACCATATACATAAATAAAAAACAAGATGTTTATGTATGTGTGTAGGCATGCATGTGGAGTCAGTTATCTGCTTTCCAAACAGCATGAAAACCTGAACTTGGTTTCCAGTAGGCATTACAAAACCAGGCATGGCTGTATGCACCCAGGAGCCCAGCACTGGGAAGTGGAGATAGCAGGGTCCTAGGGCTTTCTGGCCCCAGTCTAACTAAATCAGTGAACTCCCGATTCAGTGAGGTATCGGTCTCAAAAACTAAAGAGAAAGCGATTGAAGAAGACCCTTGATAAAGACCTGTGACTTCCATCTGTATGCACACGCTTGTGAGCTCTCACACACACATGCATGTACACAAAGAAGCATTTAAACAAAGGACACTTTGTTTAAATAGTCAAGCTTATTCCTAGAGGATGGAGGATGTGCCAAATGTAATCATGATATTCATCTGTTCCAAAAGTTGAATACGTACTTAGATTTTTTTTCTTTTTTAGCAAATAACTTTGTACTGACTTAGAACATTTTGAAAAGAAAATAATGGTTGATGGAGTCACATGACCAGAAGACTAATCTCTGATCTGGACTAAGTGATATGGTCTGAAGGAAATAAAACATGTGACTGGAATGAGCATTCCCAATTACATTTAAGAGCCGAAAGGCACCTATTTCATGGTATTTTGAGATAATTAGCAAAGTAATTGATAACTTTGTTCAACAGGTGGGTTTTCCGAGAAGTCAAGCGAATGGAGCTCAGAAGAGGAGGAGCCAGTGAAAAAGGCGGGACCTGTCCAAGTGCTCATTGTCAAAGATGACCATTCCTTTGAGTTAGATGAGGCTGCACTGAACCGAATCCTTCTTTCCGAGCCCGTCAGAGACAAGGAGGTGGTTGCTGTGTCTGTCGCTGGAGCCTTTAGGAAAGGAAAGTCTTTCCTGATGGACTTCATGCTGCGCTACATGTACAGCCAGGTAGGGAGGCGCTGAAAGCATTTCTTTCCTGGGCCCCTTCCACATCGTGTTCTCGTTAGCGTTGAGTATTCCTGTTTGTATTCGTGTGTGTACTGAAAGTAAGGGCTATGGTGTAGCCATTCCATCCTCAGTGCTTTGGGAGCAAACTACACACGATTTTACTTGGAAGCTATTGTGTAGACTTTACCTGTGGATATAACTTACTTTTTACTCTTTTAAAAATTAGTGCTAGCACATTATTATCTCGCTAGATGCTGAAAAAGCCTTCCACAATTTTTCTCTTTTTTTATTAATTTATTTTTTACATTCCAATCCCAGTTTCCCCTCCTTCCTTTCCTTCCACTCCCTCCATTCCCCTCTCCTCCAATCTGCTCCACAGAGAGGGTAAGACCTCCTATAGGAAGTCTGTCCCATCATCTAGTTGAGACAGGACCAAGGCTCCTCTCCACCCCCTACACCCCTGTGTCTAGGCTGGGCAAGGTATCTCTCTATATAGAATGGGCTCCACTAAGTCAGTTTGTGCATTAGTGTTAGATCTTGGATCCACCGCCAGTGGCCTCATATATTGTCCCAGTCACACCATTGTCCCCTATATTAAGGGAGTCTAGTTTGGTCTTATGCAGGTTTCCCATTTGTCAGACCTGAGTCAGTGATCTCTCACTAGCTCGGGTCAGCTGATTCTGGGGGTTTCCCCATCATGGTCTTGACTCCTTTGTTCATATTATCGCACCCCTTCACTTCCATTGTACTCCAGGAGCTTGGCCCATTGGTTAGTTGTGGATTTCTGCATCTGCTTCCATCTGTTTCTGGAAGAGGGTTCAAGCTTCTCTGGGGTTATGGATTGTAGGCTGGATATCTTTTGCTTTATGTCTGATATCCACTTATGAGTGAGTACATACTAGATTTGTCTTTCTGGTTTTGGGTTACCTCATTAGGATGTTTTTTTCTAGTTCTGCCCATTTGCCTGTGAATTTTAGGATGCCATTGTTTCTTACCACTGAGTAGTAGTCCATTGTGTAAATATACCACATTTTCTTTATCCATTCTTCAGTTGAGGGACATCTAGGCTGTTTCTAAGATCTGGCTATTACAAACAATGTTGCTATGAATATAATTGAGCAAACGTCCTTGTGGTGTGAATGTGCCTCCTTCGAGTATATGCCCAACAGTGGTATCATAGGGTCTTCAGGTAGGTTGATCCCTAATTTTCTGAGAAATTGCCATACTGATTTCCACAGTGACTGTACAAGTTCTTATTCCTACCAGCAATGGAGGAGTATTCCCCTTTCTCCACATCCTCTCCAGCATAAGCTGTCATTGGTGTTTTTTATTTTAGCCATTCTGATCCATGAAAGATGGAATCTCAGAGTGCTTTTGATTTGCATTTCCCTGATGACTAAGGAATGTTGAGCATTTCCTTAAGTGTCTTTCTGCCATTTGATACTGTTCTGTTGAGAATTCTCTATTTAGATCTGTACTCCATTTTTAATTGTATTATTTTGTGTTTAAATATAATCTATATGGAGAAGCACAAATATCAAATATGCATTTGTTTATTTTTATAAATGCATATCCTGATGCAGCCCAGAACTCAAAACAGAGACCACCATTCTCTCCAGAAAGTTCCTTCACAATCTTTCCTAGTCAGCTCTCACTTTGTCCTAATCCCAGAGGCAACTGGTAGTGTGTGACAAATCATGTAATACAGAAATGTGACTTCTAGGGAGCTTGACTATACCAAATGCAGAAGGATGAATGGGAAATTAAAACAAGGTTAGAGATTGGCATAGGGAAACATCCTGGCATTTCCCCCTGAATTCTCCAGTGAATTCCAATGCAAACATGGAGTTTTGAAGTAGAAGAGATATACCACGCAAAGAGTTTTATATTCTGAAGCACTAGACAGGCTGAGGTAGAAGAACTACAAGTTAAAAATTAGCCAGCTTGCCGGGCGGTGGTGGCACACGCCTTTAATCCCAGCACTCAGGAGGCAGAGGCAGGCGGATTTCTGTGAGTTCGAGGCCAGGCTGGACCAAAAGCCTCCAAAACAATACAGAGAAACCCTGTCTCGTAAAAACCAAAAAAAAAAAAAAAAAAAAGAATTAGCCTGCTTGGTGTGGTGATGCATACCTTCAATCCCAGAACTTGGGAGAGAGAGACAGGTGGATCTCTGTGAGTTCAAGATAAACCTGGTCTATAAAGCAAGTTGCAAGACAGCTGGAGCTATACAGAGAAACCCTGTCTCAAACAAGAAAAAAGAAAAGAAAAGAAAAAATTTAGCCTAGACTGCATAGCAAATTCCAGACCAGCCTGAGCCACATGACAAGACAGTTGCAAAAGGGCTTTGAGCTGGGTCTTTACAGCACAGTTATCCATTTTTAGTTTGATCTTTTATGTATGAAGTATTTTAAGACAACTTTGAGGCCGACCTTTATCTAGATTTAGGTCAAATAAATAAAGAACAGAAGTACTAAGATAATTTAGGTTTTTTAAATTTTAAATTAGAAACAAGCTTGTTTTACATGTCAGTCCTAGTTCCCTCTCTCTCCCCTCCTCCCTTACCCCCCACTAACCCCCTATCACATCTCCTTTCTGCTCCCCAGGGAGGGTGAGGTCTTCCAAGGGGAATCTTCAAAGTCTGTCACATCATTTGGGTTAGGAATAACAGGGACATCAGGCTCCTCTGCAACATTGGGGCATCCAGCTCTGGCCTACAGGCCAAGCATATATGACAGACTTTCCTGTGAAGCAGGGAATTCTGAAGAACTGTCCTATCTTGTCTTGGCAAAGTTTGGCAGTTGCCTTCTTTTGCATCCTGCTGGTGCAGTTTGGCAATTTCTTTGCCCAAATGACTACCTTTGTCATAAAGAAAGCAAACTCCGTATGGAGATTCTTTGATCCCATCATCTTCCCTGAAGTAGATTGGTGCTTCCAGGAGCAGACGTGTCCCACTGTCATGAAAAGCTTTAGGTTATCAAACATACTAAATGCCATATTCTATAGGTCTTTGAAGTGTTTGAAGACCATCTATCTACCTAAATATATCTGTGTATGACCTTGAAAACATACCTAACATGACTCTAAGCTTAATTATTATAAATGACTATTAATCTGTATTTTTAATTATACATTTTTAAATGACCTGTATAAACACAGTACCTTAAACAAGAGTAGAAACATACATACAGTATAACAAAATTAACCTTAAATTTGTGTCAGTAAACCAAGATATAAATATTTAAGATTAATAATTGTTTTTTAGATTAAAGTAGATTCAACAATCTACCCTTTTATCCTATCATTTCTATATCCCCCCCTTTTTCTTTTCAGAAAGAGATTCTTGAATATAATCTCCTTTGTTCAGCTTTTTTCCTGACCATTACCAATAACAACTTGTAATCAGCTCCCTTAAATGATAATAAATATCCATAACCCATTTTGGGGGAATATGGGCATAGTTTTCTAGACTACTTCCTGTTAATTGGGGGGGCACTGGTAATCTTTGGGGGGCCCTGAGAAAATTTAGGATTATGGTCAAGTCCTGACTGGAGTATTCTTTGAGGCTGGATCATCTCAGGCAGTAGCCTTGAAGCTGTTCTAGATGTAGAACTCAGAGAAAACTACAACAGAGGTGCTCTGGGTCATTTGGGCCATCTGTGCCCATTGGGAATTATACAGGGGAGTCTTCCTCAAACAAACCTGATTTTTCTTAACCCAGAATGAATCCACTGCCTCTCATTTCCTGTGAAAATAAAAGCAGAACCTTTTTCTCAAAGTAACATATCTTTTGACTTAAATTTTGAAGTCAAGGTATTTTTTAAATATATAGGTTGGTTTAATCTAGCAGCTTTCATAATCAAATGTCTCTCGGCAGTTATTATTTGTTCATTAGAGTAAAAAATTTAAGGAAAACACAGTAACATACAGTATTTAGACTCTTTGTGTATTTACCATCTTTACTTGGCTTTTTTATATTTTTTATTACACTATATCTTTTTTTAAAAAAGATTCATCTACTATTTACACAGTATTCTGTCTGCACATTTGTTTACCCGCCAAAAGAGAGCATCAGATCTCATTATAGAAGGTTGTGAGCCACCATATAGTTGCCAGGAATTGAACTCAGGGCCTCTAGAAGAACAGTCAGTGCTCTTATCCTTTGAGCCATCTCTCCAGTCCATGCTATATCTTTTTTAAGGACTTTATTTTAAAACTTAAGTTTTTGTCTAAGACTGTATATATTATTTCTCTTCTATCTCCCAAGCCTATGTACATTTTTTTAAAAAAATTCATTGTGATGCATTTAGAGGTCCTTTTTCATCTGACTCTGTCCTTACTGCACATCTATAGCCTTTTCTGTCTACATGAGCAAAAGAACTGCTGTGTAACTTAGACCATTATGTGCTGGTGCTGGCTCCTTCCCCTTGGTTCCCTAAGAGTCTAGTCTCATGGCAGAGGAACGTTTACACCCGGCTCTGGGATCCCTGTTTACTGCCCCAACTCTGGAAAGTTTCTGGGTCTAGGCTGCCATCAAGTAGCATGTTGCCAGCTGCTCATAAACACCATATAAGTATTTGGTAGTAGTACCTCTGAAAAGGGCCACTTGTTTTTGCCATTAACACCAAGTCAGAAAGCTGTCTCTTAATGGTGCCATGCCTCTGCTCACAGCCAGCAAATAGAGCCCACCCAAAGAAAGGCAACTACCAAGAAGCAGTGCTTGACTTCATTCTTATGTGTCTGGAGTACTTTTTTAAGCTTTGTCAGGTTTTATGTGGAAATTTCGGCCCCACATTGGGTGTCTTATGTAATGAGATGTTTCCTATCCTGACCACTGTCTTCCTGTCCCAGCAGCTGCTTTCAAATTACCACACAGAGACTTAATAGTATTTATAAATGCTAGCCAATAGCTCAGTCTTATTAATAGCTAGCTCTTACATTTTAAGATGACCCATATTCCTTATTTACACTTTGCTACGTGGCAGTACCTTTATTAGCTGGCACATTCATCTCCTGTTCCCTCTGCATCTGGCTGGCAACTCCTCAAACTCTGCCCTTCTTCCCATCCTCCTTAGCTTGGTCACCCTGCCTACTGCCTATACTTCTTTCCTGGCTGTGGCTAATCAGTACTTTATCATATCATTTGTGTGACAAACCTTTACAGTGTATAAGAGGATTATTCCACAGCAGTGATTCCTGCTGCATCTTCCTGCCTCCCTTTTGCCTGCAGGATAAGCATCTGTATTAGGCACCTTTCTAGGCCTTTAGAACCTGGCAGTCTAACCTCTCTACCTGCCAGTCTTCTCCCCCACAACCCATGTACCAGAGCATCTGTCTATGTCCTTACATAGTATTCCTCCTCACTCATTCCCTCCTTCTTCTCCTTGCTCCCTCCCTCCTTTCTTTCCTTTACTCTTTTGCTGACTTCTTTCCTTGCATATCTTCTCCAGGTTGTTCACCGGAATAGTCCTCAAACAGTCTTCTGTTATCACCTGTTGTGGCAACTCATTCAGCCAATAGTCTGTGAGGTACTGGCCCCTTCTAGGTGGAGTCTCAGGTGCTACTTGTGGCCTAGGAGCAAACTGGTTCTCTCCTTCTTGGGTGAGGAAGGCCCAGGAGCCTCACGTGGGTAAGGCAGTGGCTGGGAAAGTCTCCAGTCAGCAGCACAGTGGCAGGAACCCACAGCCCAGCGCCTCTGGAACCTCCCAAGATTTGTTGACATTGAGTGCTGTGACTGCTGACATCTTGTAGGAGGAGTGAGAATGCCTACACCCCGCTTGATGGGCGTGTTGCAGATATCTCCTGTTGCAGACCTGCAGCAGTGTGGCTTTCTGAGGTCTGACATTGTCCATCAGTCCTGCTCACCTGTGAATCAGAACAAAGAGCCCTGGATGGTGAAGAGAGAGCTTGCTCGCTCTGGGTCCACACATAGCACCTGAGACCCCACCCAGAAGGGGCCTGTACCTCAAAGACTATTGGCTGAATGAGTTCCCACAACAATCACCTTTTCAATGAAGTCTTACCTCATCAAGAATTAGTTGTTCCAGAGAGATAGTTTAGAGGTTAAGAGTACTTACTGCTCTTACAGAGGATCAGAGTTTAATTCCCACGACAGACAGCCCACAACCTCCTGTGACTCTAGCTAGAGGGCGTCCAACACCCTCTTCTGTCCTGAACAGGCACCTGCATACGTATGTGTATCCTCACACCAGGCACACATGCACATAAATGAATGAATAAATTAATCAGCTGTTTCATTTCCCATGTTATGTTTCCACTTATATGTTATATACATTTCCATTCTACATATACATGTGTATGTGTATAAATTGTAGTGATATTAGCCACTTAACAGATAGTTGCCTCTGTGATTATATTTGAATGAAAAAAGTGACTATATCAGTATAACAGATATGCACTTTTTCCTTTTAATTTGAATTATAGAAAAAGAAGCATCAAAAAGGATGAGAGAAAAAAATACATGCATATCCAATTCTAATCATAGACTTCATTAAATTTATAGGAATCCGTTGACTGGGTTGGAGATTACAATGAACCGTTAACTGGATTTTCATGGAGAGGTGGGTCTGAACGAGAAACCACAGGAATCCAGATATGGAGTGAAGTTTTCCTTGTCAATAAACTTGATGGTAAAAAGGTATGACACATTTTAAATAAAATTAAAATTTTAATTTCAGTAGTAACTTTGAAAGTGGTCTTTTAAAAATTTTGTCCATTTCACAAGCTAAGAGTGGTGTCTAGTTGAATGATCCCTGTTAAGCTGTTCAGTGATCCCAGGAAACAAAAATCATAATGGATACAGAATATCAGATAGCAAGCTGATAGTTTTACATCATCTCAGTGCTATATTTTTATCCTAGGTTATTGGAGAAAATTACAAAATGGTACCCTGAAAAAAATGGTACCCTGGTGTTGTATGCAATATCAGTAATGTACTTTATTTACCTGCAGGTTGCAGTGTTACTAATGGATACTCAGGGAACCTTTGACAGTCAGTCAACTTTGAGAGATTCGGCCACAGTATTTGCCCTTAGCACAATGATCAGCTCAATACAGGTATGGAATAAAATAAATCTATTTTGGATGTTTTTTTCAACTAAAATTCATGAATAGTGTTTCTACATAATCGTTGCAATGAGACAAAGATCATGGCAAATCCTATGTGTTACTCAATTAACTCCCCATGAATAGTTTTTAATTGTAAAGAGAAGCTTTTTCCTTGCTAGCCTCTTTGGTTTATCCCCCACCAGCCGCCTGGGCTCTGCCGCATTGTAGTCCCCAAATAAACACACAGGAGGCTATATTAATTATGAAGCTGTTGGCCTTGCTTGTTTCTTACTGGCTAGCTCTGACTTAAGTAATTACCCCATAATTGTTAATCTAAGTATTTCTCTTACCGGAGAATAGTTCCGGGCTTCCTACCCCATGGCGGTTACATCTCGAACTCTCTGTGTTTCTCCTTCCCAGAATCCTCCTGGACTCCTAGTCCCACCTATCTAGATTCCTATTGGCCAGCAGTGCTTTATTAACAAATGTACAGGACTTCCCCCATCATTTAATTATATTTTATTTTTTAAAACAAGTTTTAAATTTAGATATACTTGATCTTATTCTTCTCCATGTCCTTCCAGATCCTTTCCCTTTCCTTACTCATCCAACTTTAAGTTTTCTCAAAAAACAAAAGCTCCCAAACCAAGAAACAAACTAAAACCACACTCAAAAAACAAAACAAAAAACCCCACCAGACTGGAACCAAGTAAAGACACAGATACACAAACACACACAGACACACACAACCTGTGGACTCCCCACGAATAGTTATTGTTGCTGTAGTCTAATTACTGATCAGTTTCTAATTTGGCTGCTTTAGTCCAAAATAGCTTTATTATTGTTACTTTTTCTGTTAAAGTTTACAACACATTAAATAATATTAAATTTTATAGCTAGTGATGTAGTGTCTTTGCTTTGCATTTACAAGTTCTTGGGTTCAATCCCCAACACCATATAAACCAGGTTTGGTATAGAATACCTGTTGTCCCAGTACTGAGGAGATGGAGGCAGGAAGATCAAGAGTCTAATGTCATCTTTGGTTGTACAGTGAGTCAGAGGCCATCCTGGGCTACATGTGACCTTTTCTCAAAAAGAAAATGTTGGGTCAGTGAGATAGCTCAGCAGGTAAAGAAAGCTATTTGCTAAACAGAGCTGATATGCCGAGGTCAATCTCCAGAACTCTGAAGTGGAAGGGGAGAAAAACTCTAAAAGCTGTCCTCTGACCTCCTCACAGCTCATGGCTCCCTTCCCCACATGCACACACCCTTCACACAGACAACAATAATAAATAAATCACTGGTGGAAATGTTTGTGAAATCTATATGTATTCATAGAATGCTTTTTAATTTCCTTCCTTTTGCTCTTTCTTCCCAAGTACTATTGGGTGGAGTAGGGGGCTATAGGCTTTTTAAATTATCCTGAAAGTCTGTGGAAGGCTTTACCGTACAGAGACAACATATTGCTGAAAAGATTTTAAAGACTACTGTTAGACATGCTCTGTCTGTTGGAGACAGCGGGGAGCGGAGGTACAGAAGAAACAAAGCAGGTTGTTGTTGTTGTTGTTTTGTTTTGTTTTGTTTTTTGGTTTAGAGACAGGGTTTCTCTATATAGCCTTGGCTGTCCTGGAATTCACTCTGTAGACCAGCCCGGCCTCGAACTCACAGAGATCCGCCTGCCTCTGCCTCCTGAGTGCTGGGATTAAAGATGTATGCCCCCGCTGCCCAGCCCTTTTCTCTTTTTCTTCTTTCTTTCTTTCTTTCTTTCTTTCTTTCTCTCTCTCTCTCTCTCTCTCTCTCTCTCTTTCTTTCTCCCTTCCTTCCTTTCTTTATTTTCTTTCTTTTTTTTGAGGCATGATAGCTTGTAAAGGTGGGAAAGCTGGAACTGGTCTAGGCTGTGATCATAAGCAGATGGAGGAATGGAGCTGGTGAGCAGACAGACAGACAGACAGACAGGTACAAGGAAGAGGGAGCCTGAACTGAACTTTTAAGTAAAGGAATTTAAAATAAAAGTTAGTCATAATCCATGATTGATGCTTAAAAAAAAATCTACTTCTTGGGGCTGGAGAGATGGCTCAGAGGTTAAGAGCACTTGTTGCTCCTGCAGAGGACCTGGGTTTTGTTCCTAGCACCCACATGGTAGCCATCCATAATTCTAGTTCCAGGGAATCTAACTCTCTTCTGACCTCTGCAAGCACCTGGTACATATGTGCTGTATACACATACATGCAAACGAAAATGCTCTTACACATAAAATAAAGATAAATCTAAAAAAGATGTTTTTAAAAGATTAACACAAGAAAGCTATCCATAAAACACAGGTTATTCTAATACAAAAAATCTGCTTCTTCAATGAATCTTCGAAGTACCAACTTGATATCTATTTCCTTTGAAATCAATAGGAAAGATCATTTGCATAAGCCAATTAAATCAGTTTGGCTTTGCTTTTAGCATTCATTATTTAGCATTATAATTGGCCTAAAAACATTGAATCTTTTCATAGAAAAAGTGTTTTAAGTAATGACTATTTTAAATTAATATCTGAGACGCTGTTATTTAAATAAATACAAAAAGGATACTGTTTGTATCAATATGTAAACATATAAGCAACCATAACTTAATCTTTAAAGTTACTAATGTTGATCACCTCAAGGAAATAAGAAAACCATGCATTGTCACCTTAAGGCTGTGCTGTAGTGGAGGAGCAACAAGGCAGGAGCCCAGAGCTGTGAGCTCGGCATTCAGAACCTACCCTCTGTGTGGAGGGACTTAATGTAGACATGAACAAAGCAATACGTTAGGAAGCATTAATTGTAATTTTCCAGTTGGGCAGGACAGCCTACTTCTGTAACCCCTGATTCTGGGAGTTTGAGACAGGAGGATTACATGTTTAGGCAACACAATGAAACCTTGAACCAAAATAAAAAGGGCTTGAGGTGTTACACTATAAAAACAAACACCCTGCCCCCAAACACACACGTTTCCACAGTTGTTCAGGTTTAGATGAATGCTCACTTGGTGTGCTTTGAAGAGTGATTATTAAGCAGGTCCATAAAACAACTGTATTTGTCTTATATTTTTATGTCCATTGTACGTTGTTTATCATTGTCAAGCTCTCTTTACCCCTTTCTTGGGGTCTCATATATGTACGTAAGAGAGTTGATTGTGTATTCGCTGACATTTATGAAAATGGAATGATGAAGTGATACTGACTGTCTTCTCATCTTGACCTCTTACCCCATAATCAAGGTATACAACTTGTCCCAAAATGTCCAGGAGGATGATCTTCAGCACCTCCAGGTAAAAGCATGTTTTGTGTATCTGGTGATCTTGTGGACATGCAGACCAGAATTTTGGGGAACTTCAGACACATGACCACATAAAGGTCATGTTGTTGCCAGGTTTCTTGTCTAGTTTTGTATGGCTATGTTCTTTCTAATTCAGTTTTCATATTCCTTTGTTTCTAAACCTGCTTGCTCCCAGAGCTAAATACATGAAAGTATATGGCAAATCTAAGTGGACAAAGAGCTGGGTGGTGGTGGCACACACCTTTAATGCCAGCACTTGGGAGGCAGAAGCAGGGGGATCTCTGTGAGTTCCAGGCTAGCCTGATCTACAAAGTGAGTTCTAGGACAACCATGGCTGTTACACAGGGAAACCCTGTCTTGAAAAACAAAACAACATAAGAATCTTCAGTGTAGAGTCTCTGAATTGCAGTGTCAGTCTTAAGTCACGGACTTGATGATTTGTTGGTGCGGTGTCTGTTACATGCCAGACTTCTTTCCTTGTGGACCTCATGGCTCAGACTGTGGGAGAAGATTGAGATCTGATCTGAAAGAGACCTTGGTGGCACCTAATCTACCCTTCATGTTTTATAGATGAGGGAAGTGGGGATGAAAAACTCAGGGACTTGCAGAGGTTCCTGTGGCTAGTTAATGGTAGGATAGGGGAAGGAACAATTGACTGGGTCCTGTGTTCCTTCCACTCTCCAGGAAGTTGGGATCTTAAATAAAAGAGTAGATATTTTCTAGAGATTTTTATCATCTCATGTTATTCTTGAGTAGATAGCAAAGCTTCTATTCCTTTGATAGCTCTCTACATGGTTTACGTAAAATTTTACATAACATGTATCAGATCCATGCAGTGAAATGTGAAACTTTGATAGATATAAAGGACAGTAAAGCAATGTAACCCATGCATTAGAAATGTCACTTGGAGTTCACTTCCAGTTGTTACCTGACATATTCTGGTATCTCACACAGATCATTTATGACAAAGAGGTGATACATAGAATAACTGCTGGATGTATTTCCATAATAAAAGCAACTACTTCTTCGGCAAGTACCATAACCCAGTTAGTTACTTTCCTAATGAACAGCATGGTGTCATTGCATACTGGCTTATTTATGATATATGTGTACAAAAGGACCAATTTGTGGCAGGAATGGTGTATTTTTATCATTTAAATTTTTTCCTGTAAATAACAATACCGTTCTCTAAAGTGATTGAATTCAAGTTATGTCAGTACATAAGTCTCAAAAGTGTGCCACCCCAGCTGGGCGTTGGTGGCGCACCCCTTTAATCCCAGCACTCGGGAGGCAGAGACAGGCGGATCACTGTGAGTTCGAGACCAGCCTGGTCTACAGAGTGAGTTCCAGGACAGGCTCCAAAACAATACAGAGAAATCCTGTCTCGAAAAACCAAAAAAAAAAAAAAAAAAGTGTGCCGCCCCTAGACCAGTTGCCTTTTAGACATACCCAGACTTGGAGCTCATTCCTTGAATGAAGTATCTAGTAACTACCCTTTGCTTTTCTGGTTTCCACTGCCCTGCAGTGGTGGCAGTGCGAGGCTGAGAGGTTATTATATGGGGGGGGGATGCTGGGTCAGCATTATTCCCAACTCCAAGAAGTTTTGTTAGCCCAATATATGAACGGGGAAACATCTAACCCGCCTGGATTTCAGGAGCCTCGTCAGTCATCTCCACAGGCTTGAGTTCACTAAAATCTTGCATTTGATAAAACAAAAATTCTCATTGTTGTACTTCATCTTCTCAGTTGTAAGCAATAAAAAAAAATAAAGAGAAGAAAGTATATTTGATTCCCCACTCTAAAAGCCAAATGCCTAATTTTGTAACTCAGGTGCCTGGACTACAGCTTTATAAATGTACCCCAGCTGATTTACCTCCCTCTAAGTCAGTGTAAGCTCTGCTTTGAAAGGTCATTTTGTGTGTGTCCCCATTCTACAGTTTTTATATCAAAGACATGAGTTTTACGGCTTAATGCTTAGTTGCTTGCACACATGGAAAAGAAAGGGAGAGGTTTAAAGTAGAAGTTTCATCATAAAATGTAATGTATTTTTAATGTGTGATATGTCATTGCTTCATCTCTGTCTTACATGACTGATGCTTGTTTCCTGAAGATTACTATGTAATCATGACACTGTAGCACTCTGCTACAGCTGGGGCATGAGTAGAAGAAACCCAGTGAGTAAAAGAATCTCAATCTTTCTCCTCCTCTCCCTCCCCATCCCTTCTCTGATTTTCCTCCCAGCTTTTCACTGAGTATGGCAGGTTAGCAATGGAAGAAACATTCCTGAAGCCTTTTCAGGTAGGTGAACGTTAAATGATGGGAAATTCTTACTGGATTTTTATGGAATCTATAACTGTGATTTTCATCAGGGTCATGTTTCTTTCCTTGATTCATTCAAGAAGCATTTTTAGGCTGGTTGTAGTAATACACATCTTTAATGACAACACTAGGGAGGCAGAGGCATGTGGATTTCTTTGAGTTCAAGGCAGATTGATTGCTCTGAGTTCAAGGCCAGTCTGATGCACATTGGGCATTCTAGGTCACCCAGGGTTACATAGTAAGAGACCTTGTCTCAAAGGAAGAAAGAGAAGAAGGAGTTTTAAATTCCTATGCTAAGCTATTTGATGTGAAGAAGAGATAGAAGTAGGGAAATAAAAACATGTCTTAGATATTCTGGATCATGTGAGAATATCAACTTTTCCCTGAATTCAGCCCTACACATATCACAGAAGACAGTTGATATTTGCTAAGCACGAAACATAAAACAACCAATCTGGGGAAATAAAAGTGGGTTGCAATGTGCAACCGTTGCCTGACACCAGAGCAGATACTGAGGAAGAGTCTTGAGTGCCATTTCTTACATGTTAACATCTCCCGTTGCCTGATTGTAACAGCAACCAGCCCAGTTAGGGCTGGTATGGCCACTGTGTGGGGATTCTGTAGTCATTTGTATTCGTCCCTTCAGCTATCAGACTATTGAAACACCAGGTCCTAAAGAATTAAAAACTTACCAGGAATCCCATGCTGGAAGAAGGAAAATATTGAAGCCCTAGTGTCATCCAGAAGAGGAGCTGACCTCCCAGAAAGAGATTTCACATAGTTCTGGCAACTTACTGGACCAACTTGCGGGACTGATAGTCAAGGTAGTGGTGGGCCAGTAACAGACAGGACTGTACTTTGCCGGGAGTGTTTAATGGTACATAGCTCTTACCATATTTAAGCCTAAACCTCATCTCATTACTCCCACAAATAGATCTGGGGTGGGGTGGGGTTCGCCTTCCCAGAGTAGCCACATTAATCATCTCGCCTTTTCTGTTCTTCTGGCATATAGAGAGAATGGGTGGCCCTTTAAACTCCATCAAGGTTACATTTGAACTTGGATTAAGTAGTCAGTTACCATCTACAGTCCTTCAAATTCTGCCCTAATTTACTAGGACAAGAATTAGAACCAAGTCAAATCCCTTCAGACAGCACCCAGAGGAGGAAGCAGTCTTTACACTATCTAAAAGTTAACTCCTTCAGCCAAAGCTTGTCAGAGGAAGCCATAGTTCTAGATATGCATAATACCCACGGTGGATCATAAGCTGAGGGAATATGAACCCATAGGAAAATCACAACTAATAAAGGGCTACATGCAAACAGTAGACTAAGATGAACTGTCTGTTTTCTGTTGATGAGTAAATGATTTTAAACCACTAACTCACACAGTGGGGATCCGGGGTGGCTTCAGTTAGCAGATTTGACTATTGAATCACATTCAAGATGTCCAGAAGATATTTCCTTGAAGACTTAAGTGGAGGGCTCTTTAGAAGTAGTCTGAATCTGGCCTGAAATCCAGGAAAATAGCAGAGGAGGTGGTGAGGGAAAGCACCACCAGTCCTGCTTTACAATTTGTAACATGGTTCACAACACTTTCTGTGCTCATGTATTTCTTTTTAATTCATCGGTTAGGTGATAGTTGAAGTGCTGAATGGCAATTGCAATATTGCCTTGACTTTTCTACTCTTAGGTGTCACTGTTCCTAAAACATAAACTAACATAAAGACTAACCAATAAATAGATAGAAAGATAGATGGCTCAATCAGTTAAGTGCTTGCCATGTTAGCTTGAAGGCTTGAATTTGATCTCTAGCAACATTGTAAAAAAAGTCAGGCATAGTGGTGCATACCTCTAATCCCAGCTGTCCAGGACATCCCCTAGCCCCCCCCACCACCTCACAAGCCTCATGGTCTGCATGGGGGATGAGGGGTGAATGATCCTCAAAAGAGGTGAAGAATGAAACTCAGGACAATGCCATCTTTGCAGACACTGGGTCATACCTTCTAGAGACTGACCTGGTGGTTCACTTTTCTTACACATTTAAACACATAGAATTTGTGACCTGTGACCTTTACAGTAGGAATGAATTCTATTGGCTAATAGACACTAGGATCCATGGGAAGGACCTATATAAGCATAAGGATATATTCTATTGGTGGAAGATGCAAAGCACATGGGGCCTCTGTTGTAGGGATGTGTTCTATTGACTCAGGACTTGGGCCTAAACAATGCTCAGGATATAGAAAGGATTCAGTTGGAGGCTGGCTCTTATTGGAATAGCAAAGAATCACTAGGTTGATTGACTACTTTTAACTCTGGCATTCAAGGTGATCAGGCATCCTCATTTCCTTCCACTAAAGAAAACAGGCCCGTGTGATTGACCGTCCTGGTTTCTCTAATGCTTATTCTAAGCTGTGCTTCCTGCACCCAGCACTGGGCATGTGGAGACAGACAGTTCCCCACAACTTAATGTCCAGCTAGCTTAGTTTATTTGAATAGTTCTAGTCCGGTGAGAGATCCAGTCACAAAAACCAAGAGAACAGCTCCTGAGAAATGTTTCCACATGCATCTGAACACATTTGCACACTCAGCACCATAATAAACATACCTGCATGCACACTAATATATACCATACCACACATTAAAAAATAAAAACACTTTGAGGGACTATAGAGATGGCTCAGCAGTTAGGAACACCTGCTGCTCCTGCAGAGGACCTGGGTTGTGTTCCCAGTACCCACAGTGGCTCACAACTGTCTATAACTCCAGTCCCAGAGGATCCAACTCCCCCTTCTGGCCTCCTTGGTAACTTCATGCACATGGTACATAGGCATAAAAGCAAGCAAACACATTCATATACATAAAATTTAAAAAAAAAAAGGGCTGGAGAGATGGCTCAGAGGTTGAGAGCACTAGAGCACTGACTGCTCTTCTGGGGGACCCAGGTTCAATTCCCAGCACCTACATGGTCACTCATGACTGTCTGTAACTCCAGTTACAGGGGATCTGACACACTCACATAGATACAACATCAGTAAGTGTACATCAAATAAAAATAGACCATCTAAAAAATTAAAAAATTTAAAATTTGACTGAATGAGTCAGCAATGACTCCTTAAACCAGTATGGGTTTTAGTAAGTTTGAAATTGAAATGAGAAATTTACTTAGCAGTAAAAGTAACATCCAAAGCCTTTTAATAACATTTGAGATTGAAGCAACTAAGTTCGAAACAAAAAGATACTATATATCATATATTTAAAAGGTAAGATACAAATATATAATACATGTACTACATATATATATAATACATATTAAAACAAGACTCTCAGGACATATGACATTAATGACATAATTCACACTTAGATTAGGAAAAAACTGTGAATGAGGCTGAAAATATGGCTCTGCAGTTAAGGACACTGGCTATTCCTCCAAAGATTCAGGTTTTATTCCCATCATGTACATGGTAGCTCACGACCATCTGCAATGCCAATTCCAGGGGATCCAGTGCCCTTTTCTAGCTCCCATGGGCACCAGGCACTGGAGTGATGCTCAGACATATGCAGGCAAAACACCCATGCACATAAACTAATAGAAAATAACAGCACAAAATAGCTTTTAAATGATATTTTAGTTTACTCAAAAAATTGTAATAACTATTCATTGCAAGTCCCAAGAAGCCATCTCTAAGCAGTGTAACAGACCTACAGATTACAGTCTATAGTAAGAGATAAGATCACCGGGTAGTGGTGTTGCAACAGGAAGCTGACTGTCTAGGTCCTGCTTAAGCACGGTATGGCTGAGGTCTGTTTCAGCCACTGTGTATACCGTGGCAGTCAGCATCTGCAGCAGGGAAAGCACCGGAGAGATGGAGTTCTGGGTCTATATTCAGGTGGTCAGTAAATCCAAGGTTTCTGGCAGTAGGAAAATTAGAGGCATAAACCCTTAAAGAAAAAAAAAAAAAGGCTTTCCTGTGGATGAACTTGACTTCCTCTCAGAAGCCTTTCTTTCTTTCTTGAACAGGTAGTTAAGACCTTTGACATTTAGTCTCTTATGGCTTATCTCCTCAGCAACAGTACTTTGTTTTCTCAATTACTTTCTTCTAGTCAGCTCCATAGTTTTCTTTTCATTTTTTTGAAGTATATGTGAGTGTGTTTGTAGTAAGGAAATACATGGCACAAACAATTAGAAATTGTTATAATTTCTCATTCATATCGGGCCTCTATGCAACCAGGAATTCTTTGACTCTAATTGACTTAATTACATTCAAGGTCACTCTACTCCCATGATTAAAGATATTTATTGGCAAAATTCCTTGGTAGTGATTCAAGCCACTTTGAAACAAAACATTTTTGGACAAAAATCTGTGTTAATGGGAGCTGCCAAATAATGTAAGAGAAATGCCTGACCTTGCTGAGAAAAAGGTTTCTGTCTGCCTGCTAGAGGTGGAAATTAACATGTGATGGGACCAAGGAGGAAAGCTACCTACTTACTTAGGTTTTGTCCAGAGTGCAACTTAGGTCATCCGAGAGTTACATGAATTAGAATTACTTATCTGGGTTAAGGTTCAGACCAGAGTTCTCTTGGTTTCCACACTTAGTTATGGAATGTAACCGCTGGATAATGACAACTGAGTCAGTGGGCACTGTGCAAAAGTGTTTTATATGCTCACTGTGCTAGCAGTATCACTTCTCAATTTCTTTCTCTCTTTATCCAGTGAGGAAAGGGCCAGAGAGAGTAGTCTATAAATGCTGTACACACAGACTGTGACACTACAGAGCTGGCCTCTACCCTGGCCTTAGGTCCAATGCTTTGGATCTAGACACCACCTTCTTCTCTTCCGCTCCTGTCCCCCAGTACTTGTTAAACTATAGTTTGCGATCTGGTTTTTAATAAGCATATTCCACCTCATTAGTTATCTTTCAGGTCTTAAGGGCAGAAGCTTTGTGATTTGCTTTTTTAGCTAGAGTACCTACTTCCTTTGAGTCACTTGGGCAGAGGAGACGTGCTCAGGGAACTAACTGTGCTTGGGGTTGGCCTGGCCCTCACCCTTGAACACACAGCATGCTTTAACAGACGGCACACACAAGATCAGTGCTCCCCATGCTCCCCATGCTTCCCATTGTAACCCACAAGGCAAGCATCAGTTTGCTTTTCTTCAGGTATTGCTGGTAGGCTGGCTTTCCCAGGCTGTTGATGAAAGCAAGCTGTTGCTTATAGTCACCAATAATTTCTAGTGTTCTTCTCAGAAGCTGAAGTTAAAACTGAAATTGATTGATTAAACACAGTAAAGTCTAGTTCAGATATTTATGGACCACTGATTCTAAATCAGTTTTTCCTTCAGAGGACATGATTAATTTTACATGTTTTATAATGGATATGCACATAAATTTAGCATTAGCTTTCTAATACCATATCATTTAAATTTTATATGGGCATTTACACATATACTGACATATTCCATATACTTGTAACATTAATATCTTAATAGTATCCTAAGAATACACTGTACTTTACATGTTGTTGAATTGAGATCTTTGATTCATATAGGTATATCCAGCTGTTGGGCCCTTGGTTTTATTTTGTTTTGTTTTCATTTTTCACTGTAACTCACAATAGGGCTATAATATCCCTTCTGAATGATTTTCAAATGGCTGTAGTTTGTTTCCAAAGAGATATTGTCAATAATTTTCATTATCCAAACAAAAAGACCATTTGTAAGATAAAATAGCATAGGCCTATCATTTGCCTAGCTCGGTTTAATTCATCTGAAAAACCATTACAGTTTAATGCAGTTTTATATGACAAATGGGGGGCTTTATGGTGTTTCCTGCCTTTACTCATACAGATGAACATGTGAGGATTTGGCAGTAGGAAACTGATGGCTTTTTGAAATGAGGGTTGTAACTCTTAGAATTCTAGATGTGATAAGATGAAGCACACAAAGTACCTGGGATATAATAGGAAGGGGCTGTAGTTACCATTATCAGCTAATGATGAGCAATTATTAATAAGCTAATCAGTACACTACTAGTGTCTGGATATCATCTACAGTGGATGTGCTTTCTCCATAGAAATTGGAAAACCCTGGAGAGACCAAAGCTTCTGTGTTGTTTTGACCAAAGAGCCGCTTACAAACAAGCTTGGGAACTTGAGCAATAGCATTGACTCCATGATTACTATTAGAAGTTGATAATTTGGAAAAGTAAGGCTTCATGTTGGCTTTTCTACACATTGTCTTCATTATTTTGAAGGAAAATACCCAGTGGAAAAGAGCAAACAATGAGACAAAAATTGCTCAAGAAATATGCAAGACCCACATACTTCATTTTATTTATCCTGGCTTGCAATTTCTACTTCTGTTAGTGAAGTAACTACTTTACCAGATACTTGTTTTAGGTAGAAATTTTCCTGATACAAGTTATATTTTGATATTTTTAAACAGAAGTGGGCATCCATTTAAAGTTAATAGACTAAAGATAGCAGATGTGAGTATCTTTAGTTCCCTCTGCAAAGAGCTCTCCTCTCCCCCACAGCATCTATACAACAGGAAAAAGGCACTGTCGTGGTCAAACAAGACAAAAACCACACAATCACACATTACGAGGGGGCTGGGTAAGCAAAGATGGAGTTTCAGACTGTGGCCAGGGTGCAAGAGTGTCACAGTGCAGTTCCAGTCCCCCAAGTGAGTAACTACAGCACAGCTTCCTCATAAATGAGGCTGGTGTGGAGACCAGCGAACACCATGGCACCTTCATCTGTGGGAATGAAAGATATAAGGGAGAACATCTGTAATGTTTCCATTGTGTGAGCAAATATGCCAAGAGTTTTGAAAGCTTTCATTAAATATTCATAGCCACTGATGGTAGCATTGGGGCTTTTGTGTTTGTGTTGTAGTATAAAACTTTAAGTAACTATGGGATGTCATAATTCAATATTCCCCTGTGCCTAGAAAACCATGATTCCTGATTCAGGGTCTGGGTAAAGAGGTACAGATATGATAAAAGTTCAATGAAAACATCTTGGTCCTGCATGTGAGTGTTTAAAATGCACATACCAGCATGAATTAAGGCAAGATTCTATCACATACACATCACACACATGTACACACACACGCATACACACTCGCACATACACACAAGTACTAGCTTTGCCCACTTGAAAAGACCTAGGAATAATGAGCAGGTCAGCTTCACCCAGTATTGGTAATGTTGATGTTACAGTGATAAACTTGAAGAAACTGGTGCTTTTGGAGAAGTGTAAGTGGAGTTTTCATGTCCCGCAGCCACTCTCAAATAATCACTCACAGGCTTAATATTACTTATAAATACTTAGCCAATAGCTCAGGCTTGTTACTAGCTAACTCTTACACTTAAATTAACTCATATTTTTATCTATGCTTTGCCATGTGGCTCGTGGCTTGTTACCTAATTTTGTACATGTCCTGCTTCCTCAGAGACTGACTGGCATCTCCCTGACTCTGTACGTCATCCCAGCATTCTCAGTTTGATTGTCCTGCCTAACTTTGCCCTGCGTTGCTATAGGCCAACCAGCTTCTTTATTAACCAATGAGAGTAATGCATACTCACAGTGTACAGAAGGGTTATTCCACAGCACAGAAGTTCTTGACTCTGTCTGGGTAAAGCAATGTACTTGGAGCTGGCATCGTGGTGCTTACCTGAATCCCAGTTTGAGGTCAACTTGGTGTACATATCTAGTGCCAGGCCAATCAGAGAGACACATAGTAAGCCCCACCCACCCCCCCAGGAGTGATAGACGTTGTTCTTCAATTAAGTGCTAGTTACATGGTGTGATCAGTTTCTGAAAACATGCTAGGCCATGCCATTATATGTGAATGTCTGTATGTAGAACATATTTCAATACGGAAGATTTTAAAATGAACATACGACTTATGTGTTACTTAAAACTCATCACTATCTTAAATGCCATCCTAAGTTTCCTTGACATTAAATTTCAATTATATTTTAATGTAGTACTTTTCACTTTGGTTGTAACATTGACACTCATGTTTTTTAAATAAAATTGTCTTTCTTTTTCCCTTGTCCTACTCCTTGTGCATAAACTTCACTAAGTGTTAGCTGTAGTTGCCTTTGAGACTTGGAACACATTTTAAATTTTCTTCTCTGGACTTTTGTGATAACAAAATGCATAAATCATTTCTATAAAGTGTTAATTAAATTTAGGAAAAAGCTGGTGGAAGGCTACCAAGATGACTTAAAAGGAGAGGTGTTTGCTGCTAAGGCTAATTAACAGTGTAATTACTGCCTAGAGCCCCGCGGTAGGAAGAGAGAACCAACTGTCACCACTTGTCCTCTGACCTCTACATCCATTCACATCCACACATATACACAAAAACTTCAAAAGACGTTTTAAAAAAGACTGCAGAGATGATTCAGTGGTTAAGAGCACTGGCTGTTCTTCCAGAGGATCTGGGTTCAATTCCCAGCACCCACATGCCGCTAACAATTGTCTGTAGCTTCATTTCCAGTGGATCTGACACCCTTATACTGATATACATGCAGGCAAAACACCAGTGCACATATTTAAAAATAAATAAATCATTGCAAAATTTTAAAAAGGAAACAATAAATAAATAAAAAGTAGTAGTGTATGCTTGCCAGGAGGATTGCTGTGAGTTCATTGACAGCCTGGTGAAATTGCCTCCGAAGTTTTAATCTTTTTAAAGTAGGTCTTGTGTCTTATGAATATATTCTGCCAAAAGCATAAAGAAAGGAATGAAAGGGGGAGGAAGGAAGGAATGAAGGAAAGAAGAAAGGAAAGTCTTGGGAACACACCACACAAAATCTAATTCTAATTATGGGGCCATTCAGTCAGTTTAATGGAGGATTACGACTGTCCCTCATCTCAGTGGGATACATTCATCTTGGAGTTAGTACGCAGCTTGCTGTTCCCACTTAGTGGAAGCATGATGAGCTCATGGCAGACTGCTGAGAAACTTTGAAAGACTTGATATTTGCTTTTAATTCCATAATACAATAATGAACACAGTTAAGATGTAATAATATGATTGGCTCCAGTAAAAAGCAGAGGGCTGCAACCTCCAAATACTCTTATCCATCCTTCTTGCTACTTTTCAGAGTCTGATATTTCTTGTTCGAGACTGGAGTTTCCCGTATGAATTTTCGTATGGAGCTGATGGTGGCGCCAAGTTCTTGGAAAAACGACTCAAGGTTGGTTAACTATTAAGGTGCATGCCATTTCCCCAGAATAAGCTAGTGTATCTATCTCTGTTGAATGATTTCCCGAATACTCAGAAGCCACAATTTCACTTGCCCGTCATAGTTTCTCTAATAAACAACTCAAGATGCATTTGTAATGAACTATAGAATTGTACTTTTAAGTTATTGTCAATGAATTTGACACAGATACTTTTTTGGTAGATATGTAATTAACTAACTTGTTCCTCAAGGCAAAACTTTTCCCTTGAAGAATCAAAACAGTTCAAGACTGCAGTGTAAATGTCTAGGCTTAAGTATCTCATACTGCCTTTTCTACTGACTGTTAAATACATGTCTAAAAGGAAGTGGGGTTAGGCTTGTATGACATACTTAGCCATTCAGGTGCCTTTTTAGGATTTAAGTACAGAGCTGGTTAGTTTTTTGTTGTTTGTTTGTCAGTGTCCACTCCTCTCTTTATCTGGGAAGAAAGAATTTCAATTAAGAAAATGTCTCCATACGACTGGCCTGTAACAAAGTCTGTGGGGGAATTTTCTTGATGATTGTTGTGGAAGGACCCAGCCCACTGTGGGTGGAGTCACCCTGGGCAGGTGGCTCTGGGTTACATAAGAAATCAAACTGACTAAATCACTAGGAGCAAGCCAGTAAGCAGCACTCCTTCATGGCCTCTGCTTCAGACCTCGCCTCTGGGTTCCTGCCTTGGGACACTGGTCTGACTCCCTTGGTGATGGGATAGAAAGTGAAATGGCGATAAACCTTTCCCTCCCCACGCTGCTTTTGGTCATGGTGTTTATCACAGCAATACAAAGCGAACGGTGACAGAAATTCATTCCAGAGATTGGATAGACCTGACCATGTTGATTTGTAGGAAAACAGAGGCTTGTAAATTGTGCTAAATGTGCTATGCATTTGCTACACTTAGATATGGCTAGATGGACAAATTCAATCCTTTACTCGTAGCCACGTCATGGCATTTTATCATCATGGAGGCAGACAGGCAAAGCAGATCCTTTGTTCAGTTTATGTCCCAAGAAAGTTCAATTTCAGAATGACTTTCTGCAGGTCTCAGGGAACCAGCATGAAGAACTACAGAATGTCAGAAAGCACATCCATTCCTGTTTTACCAACATTTCCTGTTTTCTCCTACCTCATCCTGGCTTAAAAGTAGCTACGAACCCAAACTTTGATGGAAAACTAAAAGGTTTGTCTACCTTTTAATGACTATGTTTGCATCGCTTATCTGATGATGAACTGGATTCCATGTGCTTGTGGCTGCTGGCTTAGCTCACACACTAATGCATGACAGATGACTCGATGCTGGCAAGAGAACCGGGCATTGGGCTTGCCGCCAGAGCTTCCCTGGAGTCAGCTGTGGGATTCTGTGGTGCTGACCACGAACACAGACCCAAGGCCTGCATCTGCAAGCAACAGGCAGCAGCCCTTGCCCTCTCACTCTGTGCTCTGGAAATTGCTTGTGTACTTAGTTTCCCCATTTTATAGTAGTTAAAATGGGAAAACGTCTGTTCTTGGAATATTGCATTTGCTGAGATACATATTTAGGAACTGAGAACAAACACTGCATTCAGTACTGAATCCAGGCTCTTCAAAATAGGTATTGAAGAAGCCGGGCGTTGGTGGCGCACGCCTTTAATCCCAGCACTCGGGAGGCAGAGGCAGGCGGATCTCTGTGAGTTCGAGGCCAGCCTGGTCTACAGAGCGAGTTCCAGGACAGCCTCCAAAGCCACAGAGAAACCCTGTCTCGAAAAACCAAAAAAAAAAAAAAAAAAAAAAAATAGGTATTGAAGAATTTAGGAATTATAAAAAGATCTCACTGAAAAACAAAGTCCTCTCCAGATAAGAACAAGTTTCTTTAAAACAGAAGAATAAGTATGATTTTTCAGCTAATGTCTTCTTACAGCATGTAATCTGCCCTAACAGAGGTTGACTCCTGATTGAAAACACACGGGAGCCGGGTGGTCGTGGCACTCGCCTTTAATCCCACACTCAGGAGGCAAAGAAGGTGGATCTCTGTGAGTTTGAGGCCTGATCTACAGAGTGAGTTCCAGTATAGCCAGGACTGTTTCACAGAGAAACCTTGTCTCAAAAAACCCAATTAATTAATTAATTTTAAAGAAAGAAAAAGCATTTGAGTAGACATAGGGTCTTCAGAAGTTCACGTTCCTGGAAGCAGAAAAGCACTGTCTATAGACATTTACTTTGTAGTTAATTTGAGGTAGTTCAAAGCAGTTTTGATTTTTTACCTGTGTGCCTACCATTGAACATACCATGGAATTCATACTTTCTTGTCTAATTTGTTATAGCTTTTTTTAAACATTGTGCCAGGGGTGAGACAGTGACATTAAATTTTTTTGGCACAATTATTGTCAAAGGGGTTTTAAATTACATTTAAAACAATTATTGTCAAAGGGGTTTTTAATTACATTTAAAAATGACAACATGGCCTGTATCCAATTTTAGAAATTAGCAGAATTGGTCATTATTTTCCTGTGTGTTCATGGAATTATCTTTAACATTGGCAGTTGGTATAATAAGCAGAATTCTGAATTTCTCAGCCACCAGTATGGCTTTTATACACTTGAAGATCTTCCTCTTTTCTCTAGTTTTACAACAGCGTAGGGCAGTGGGCACACGACACTAGCATGTGGGTGCCAAAACCCTGTGATCTCACTGCTGCCTCTGAACTCTAACCACTAGTGGACACACGGCCTCTCACTATTATGAAATGACTCATGTCTCGAATAAATTACACGAAGAGCAGGCTTCCATAAAGCCTGTCTTTCTTCTCTGGAGTTGGGAGCCATAAACAGGAGAGGGGGGCTGAACACGAGTTCCTTATGAAGGAGGGAGCCTGCTGGCCTGGTTCGTTACCGTGGCGAGCAGCTGCAGCCCATGCATCGTCTGGGCACTTTGCAGTGCCTCAGCTCACAGGTTAGGAAAAATCACACAGAAATACATGCCTACTTTGTAGTAATCTGTTCCCCATCCAGTTGTTCCTCTATGTCCACATAGACATTGGCCTGTGCAGTTGACTACAGCCATCTGAGTTTGCAGAGTAGAGTTCCTGGAGAAAGAAATGAAAACTGGCTTTGGTTGCCCCAAAGGTTTTAATGAGGTTTATACACCTTACAGGACTGCTGCTGACTCTGTGTACAGAAATGTTCTACTTTTTCTCAGTGTCTTTGGCACTTTTGAAAATCTGTTATCTACAGTTTGCCTTTTTCTAACACTGAATCTTTTTTTTTCTTTTATTGAAAATATTTTTCTCCTATAATATATCCTAATTATGGTTTCCCCTCTCTCTATTCCTCCCGATTCCTGTCCACCCATCTAGATCTACTCCCTTTGTCTCTCATTAGAAAATAAACAGGCTTCTATGGGATGATAATAAGATAAAACAAAAACTAGCACATCAGAATTGAACAAAACAAACAAATAGAAGGAACAAGAAACAGAGACCTACTCGTTCACACACTTAAGAATCTCATAATATATACACACAAAGAAACTAGCATAAAAAGAGGAGAATCTTATAATTTGATAACTTTACCCTGGATGTCTTATCAGCTAGCCATGGTATTCCTCAGAGGGCTGGCATGAGAGTGATTGTCTCTAGAAAAGAAATGTCTGCTGGATGCAAACAATTGTGAAAACTTTGTTCTTTGTAGTAGGTTCTCATGTACTATTTCACAGGCAGAAATAATTTTCTAGTTCATCATCAACACTTAGTAATTTGCCCACTGTCCTATAAAGCATTGCAATTATTGCCATCTTTAATAGCACCAGAAATAACAGTATTTCCAGTGTTCTTTAAAATGTTATGATTAATTTAATTGCTATTAATGAAGGAACTTCCCACACTGGAAAGCAGAGGTCAAAGTGTTGAGTCATGTTCATTCACACAACATTCAACTAGCTTTTACTGAATTGAATACCTCTACTAGCATAGTAAGTAGTCTTTTAATTAGCAAGGAGCTATATAGAACAATCAGGTAACCACAAGATACATTGTGAGGCAGCTTCCTTAGCAGCAGTTATTAGAGTCAAATGTCAATCAAGACATTATTTTTTAAGAAAAAGGTATGTAGGTATTTCTAATGATTTGCCAGGTAATCTTGAGATGCTACCATCCTTTGTTAGTTTATATCCTGTCCTGGTGCTCCTAATCCGTGGAGTTACTTATAAAGTACACATCGTATGGAGTGTATATTTGGTAATGAAGGTAACTAACACGTTGGCCCAGCCCCTGGATTCCCAAGAAGTTTTTGCTCTCTTGAGACAAAACTTATGGAAGAAAGGATGAAAATACATTATCACCTTGAGTGTTTCATCCATCTACACACATATATTGAACACTTATGGGGCCCTCTGGAAACTTATCATAACTTGTCCAACCATGTTCCAGACTGTGGATTTACTGTGATCAAATAATATTGCCCACTATTAATATTTTGTTATATTCTGGACCCATAATTAGAATGGTTGGCAATGGTTCCAAGGAAAGCAGAGATGTCTAGCACGATTTTAGAGCACAATTGCCAAAATATTCTGGTTGCTTTAATAATAGTTAACTTTCTGGTTTAGTAGACCTAGGTATATTTTCACTCCAACTTCGTAAGAAAAGATTTGGGTTTAAATGCATGTGTCATTAAAGTGGTTTTATACGGAGAACATTTTATTATATAGACATTTAGGAAGAACTGATACATTCTGGATATGTTGTAATAATCATTTACTTAGAAAACAAATCATACCTCTTACACATAGTATGCACATTTTCCCATGTATTTAAAGTGACTTATAAAGTTATTTGTGTATAGGACTTACCTGATCATCTACATTCTGTAGTTTTACTAAGTCTGTGTATTAAGCTTGAATGCACAGCTAAGAATGGGTAAATAACAGAGACTACTGATCTGTTTTAAGGCCCGACTGGCCTCTTTTTGCTGTGTTATTCTGTGCTGCTGAATTCTACCACTGAAACTATACCATAGTTTGTTACCATAGTTTACCCAATTTCTATACTTACAAGGCAGGCACAGGAAACAAAAGAGAATTTGGGACAACTTTTGGAGGCAATATACTACAAGCCATGAATTATCTGTCTCCTATCTTTTTGTCAGAGATGTGGTCTCAGCTGGGTGCTTATAAACTCAGCAGTCAGGAGGTGGGAAGAGGAGTTCAAGGCCAGCCTTGGCTACATATCAAGTTCGAGGCTATCCTGAATTACATATAACCATGTCCAAAATACATGCCCTCACCCATACCGGAAATAGATATGGTAGCACACATCTATAATCTCAGCATTTATGAGGCAGAGATGAGAGTATCCCTGCCAATTAGAGACCTGTAGAGTAAGATCCTGAGACAGGGCATAGTCAACCAAGGTAGACCTGACGACTGGCCTCAAATAATCCTGAGTCCACCCCACAAGTATTTGGAACTATAGGTGCACGCCACCACATCCAGCTTCCCCATTTTTGAGCCTCTATACATAACCCAAAGGTCTTAGACCTCATAAAATGCTAAAATAAATGGCTGCAACACTGGGCAGCGGTGGTGTATGCCTTTAATCCCAGCACTCGGGAACCAGAGGCAAGTGAATCTTGGAGTTACAGGCCAGCCTGGGCTACACAGAGAAATTATGTCTCCAAAAAAAAAAAAAAAAAAAAAAAGAGAGAGGAGGCTATAAAAGGTTTACCACTTAATCTTAAGAAATACTGCATAGGTGCATGACATGTGAGAGGAGATAAGAGCGCCAAGAGTGCATGTGTGTCAAGAGAACCACTCCCCATAACAGGTCTCTGAAGTCACTAAGTTACAGGAAAGTGAGTAATGGCATTTTCCACTGGGGTCAGGGAAATGGAGGCAACCAAAGGAGGTTTTATTCTGTGGCATGGAGAATTGGGCTGGATCTTTAAAATAATGGTGAATTTGCTTTCAATTGTAGAAATAGATGACGAATTCATCAAAAACTTGAAAATACTGATTCCGTGGCTCCTTAGCCCTGAGAGCCTAGATGTTAAAGAGATCAATGGGAATAAGATAACCTGCCGAGGACTGCTGGAGTACTTCAAGGTATCTCTCATTTCTGTGCCTCTTGTGAGTACTTCCCTCTGACATACCCTGGAATATGCATCCTTCGCATAAGGATTCTGTGGGGCAAATGTACAAGGCACTCATAAAAAGGCTTTGGAAAATTATGACACTCCTAAAGAAGTAGCTTTCTGAGCAAATACAATCTCTTTTGAGGAAACTCCTTGGAAGTAAATTTATCATTTGTTTTTAAGTTGGTGGAACCATACTTTGAAATAAAAGTGGATCAGAGTTGAATAAACCCTTTATGGGAGTGCCTCCCAGAGTCCCCCTGTACAGAATTTCACCTTTAAGATTGTCCAAAAGCAACTATATTTTCTTACTGAAAAATGATTCTTCTCACCTGCTCTCTGCATCAAAGGCAGATTTTAGTCAAATTACTTTAAACCTTCATTTACCTCTTGACTTTATAGTACCAAATGCCCTTTACCAACATGCGTATTTAATAAAGAAATTAACCTAATTTGTCAAGTGCTTCAAGATTAAATGTCAGTTTTTTAAATAGATATTTTAACATCCAAAATGCCTTTTTGCATGATCTCTTTTCTGTCATCACTCTCAGCAATGGCTGTATTTGAATTTCTAGTCTAGCACTGTAGATAAGCTCAGGGTTTGGATTCATGATCCCTGTGTAGATCAGGTCCGTGCAGCTCATGCTTTCAGCGGGACACAGATGCATAGAAAAGGGAGGCTACTCCATCAGAAGGACTGAAGAAACTTTTAAGGGAGATGAATTGAGCTTTTCTGAAGAACAGTAGCATTGGTATGTGGCTGTGTATGGAAAGATCGTTTCAGAAAAAGGGAACAGCATTGGCAAAGAAAGAAATAATAGTTCCTGAAAATATTTTTTTCAGTGTTAAGACCCTAAAATATAAGTTAACATAAGAAATGTTGGGGGCCTGGAGAGATGGCTCAGAGGTCAAGAGCACAAGCTGCTGCTCTTCCAGAGGTCCTGAGTTCAATTCCCAGCCACCACATGGTGGCTCACAACCATCTATAATGAGATGCAGTGCCCTCTTCGGGCCTGCAGGCACATATGCAGGCAGAACACTGTATACATAATAAATAAATAAATCTTTAAAAAAAACAAATGTTGGGCCTGGTCTACAAAGTGAGTTCCAGGACAGCTTCCAAGACAATACAGAGAAACCCTGTCTCGAAAAACCAAAAAAAACAAAAAACAAAAAACAAATGTTGGATGAAATTTCTTGGCTCTTTTTCCTTTTTGTTTTGTCTTAGGCATACATAAAAATCTATCAAGGTGAAGAATTACCACATCCCAAGTCCATGTTACAGGTGCGTATTCATCAGGAGGGATGATGTTTTAAAACATGTTTGTCTCTGAAGGCAAGCTCTCCTGCCCATAATCACTGAAATCCCTCGCCTAACCACTACCATGTGTCCATCTGATGTTACACACACACACACCAGCTTTACTTAAGCTGAGATCCACTTTGTACCAAAGACTTTCCCTCCTCTTCGTGCTCAATCTGTTTAGAACCACACTTACCCTGTCTGGCTGGTGCACTGCTCCCATTGCATTCATGTGAGGTAAGGCTAGTGCACTTTTAAGAGAAAAGATCATCAAATGAACATTCATTGTAGCATTGTGGCTTGTTGAATAAATGTCTATGTTTTGTACATCTTAAAAAGTTCATAATAGTAAGTTAAACATGTAGTAGAAACTCTTCGGATCCCTTGATGGCTGGTCCTGGCACATTTCTTGCATGTGATGCTCTGATACAGATGACTTCACTTTACATTAAAATGTGTACTTTGTTCCAAGGCCACAGCAGAAGCTAACAATTTAGCAGCTGTCGCAACTGCCAAGGACACATACAACAAGAAAATGGAGGAGGTAAGAATTCAGGATATTTAAAAAAATAAACAGTATTTCTTCTTTGGACCCCATTCTTTAATGTCACACCACACTGTGTGCATATGTAAAGAGGTGACTTTAATGTCACTTTGCTCAGTGTGTATGTATCATGTCTCTTGTGTTCCAACACTACACAGCGGGCATAGGAAGCTGAGGCAGAAGAATTGCCATGAATGTGAAGCCAAACTGGCCTGTGTTTAAGCCTAGCCTGGTGTAGTGAAATGAAACCCTGTCTCAAAAGAAAAAATTACACACACAATGCAGTTTTAAAGGCATTTAAAAATTAGTTCTCTAACAAAATATTGTTATTCATGTTTTATTTGGCCAGATTATCTGTCTCACTGGAAGATTTAATGGCTAAAAATAAAATATGCTACTCTCTGTTGTACATATTTAATTCTATAGTCTTATTAGTTCTCTTAAAATTTAAAAACAAACAAACAAAAATCAAGCCCCAGAATGAATATTTGTATGTATTATATTTCCTTATTTTAGTTCTAACTAGTGGGAGAAGTATCATTTTCCCCTAAAACTGTAAAATCAAGGTTACATCTTGTGATATTTTGAGTATGATCTAACAAATAAAGCTTGCCTGAAGATAAGAGTGCAAAGCTAGCCACACTCGTTACCCATAGAGGCCAGGCAGTGGTGGCACACACCGTTAATCCTAGCACTTGGGAGGATAGAGGCAGAGAGATCTCTGTGAGTTCAAGGCTATCCTAGGCTACATGAAATTGATTCAGTCTAAAAGAAAAACAGAGCTCACACAAAAATGATCCCCACACTTGGAGTGATACGCCTTTAATCCCAGCATTAAGGAGGTGGGGACAGGCGTGATATGGCTGGGTGAAGAGAGCAATATGAGGCGGGGGGAGACAAGAGAGAGATGCGGTCTGAGGATACAGTCTGAGGACAGGATCGCCCTTTTGGTCTGAACATTGGTAGCGGTAAGAACTCTCTAGTGACTGGCCAATTTGCTTCTCTGATCTTCAGCATTAACCCCAACACCCGATTCTGGGTTTTTGTTTTTGTTTTTTATTATTAAGATCTATTAGAATTCATGTTACATCTAACATGATATATAATTTAAGGATAATCAGATATATTATCATTATTAAAACTATACCCAAAGTTAAGGACATGGTTAACTAAAAAGCGCTTTGTAACTATGTGTATGTGTGTGGGGGTTGGGAGGTGTGCACATGAAGGCTAGTGGAAACTGTTGAGTAATTTCCTCAATTCCACCCTATCTTGTTCCTTTAAGAGAAGGTCTCACACTAACTAGAAGCTAAATGGGATGTCCAGTGAGCCTTTAGGACCTTCCTGTCTCCACCCCTCAATGCTGGAGTATAGACATGTGCAGCTGTGCCCAGCTGTTGTACATGGTGTTGGGATTTGAGCTCAGGTCCTCATTCTTGCATAAGCAATTACTTCTATCCGCTCAACCATCTCCCCAGCCTACCTTGTAACTTTTTAAAAACTTGATATAGTTCAAGAACATCGTATGTGCTTCTACTTAACTCTAAGAAAACTTCCAGTTAGCTCATTTAAAGTAGACAGTGAAACTGCTAAGGAAAATATACTTCATGATTCAAGAGTTTTATAGTACTGATTATCATTTTAAATTAAACTTCATTGGCCAAATTATGTCAGGATAATTTGACTTCCAGAAGAACTACAATATAAGCAGTTTTCGTGACTTTGTATTCATTCTGTGAACAAATAGTTGGCAATTATGTTGGGTCATGTCTTTTTACCTTGAAGAACCTGGTTAAGTCATAGATACTATTTCCTGTGTCTTAAAAGAGATGGGCTGGGAATGGTGGCACACCTTTAATCCTAGCACTCAGAACACAGAAGTAGGTGTATCACTGGGATTTGAGACCAGCCTGTCTACAGAACAAGTTCCATGCCAAGGCTACAATAGTGCGTCCCTGTCGAGAAACAGACAGAAAATTAAGAATGACTTTATTAGCTAGGTGGTGGTGGCATACACCTTTAATTCCAGCACCTTTAATCCAGAGGCAGGTGGATCTCAGTGAGTTCAAGACCAGCCTGATCTACAGAATGAGTTCCAGGACAGCCAGGGCTACACAGAGAAACCCAGTCTCAAAAACAATTCAACAGCAACAGCAGCAACAACAACAATAAGACAAAACCCCAAAACCAACACAAAGCAAAAAAAAAAACAAAAACCCCTTTATAAAGCCATTATAACAGCCACATTTTATGGTAATGCCTCATGGATGTGGGGTAGATAGTTTGGACTTACAATACATATGCAGCCTCTTTTCTGTCATTTGACAGAGATTATATTTTGAGAAATGCATCATCAAGTAACTTTGTCATGCAAACATCACTGTGTACTTAAATAAACCTAGATATTTTAGGTGAGTTACTCAACTTGTTTTCTTGACGCAATAAAAAACCAAAACAAAACAAAACAAAAAACCGCAAGAGGTATGAAGTTGTAGTTAGCATAACATAAAATACTACATTACAGTGAACTTTTAATAAGTAGAAATAGGCCCTAAAATATAGTGTGATAGTCATTTATTACGACAAATTCTGTACTGCATGTAGTTGTGTATGTTATACCCTAAACAATAGCTGTTTTAAAAGATCGTTCACACGAACTTTACCATAGCTGACAGCACCGTTCTGGCTGCAGTGTCACGGGTGATGGGAAAGGTAGTCATGGCTGATTCCACCATTCCTATGCAGCATTCCAGAGTGCTCTAAAAGTCAGCTACTAGGGAAAAGTCTGATACAGTTGTTCATTTACTCCCTATTACATAAACAAATACTTATCTCTCTGACAGATTTGTGGTGGTGACAAGCCATTTCTGGCTCCTAACGACCTGCAGACCAAGCATCTGCAGCTAAAGGAAGAATCTGTGAAGTTATTCCGAGGGGTGAAGAAGATGGGTGGGGAAGAATTCAGCCGGCGTTACCTGCAGCAGCTGGAGAGTGAAATAGATGAACTGTACATCCAGTATATTAAACACAATGACAGCAAAAATATCTTCCATGCAGCTCGAACCCCAGCCACACTGTTCGTTGTCATCTTTATTACATATGTGATTGCTGGTGTGACTGGCTTCATTGGTTTGGACATCATAGCTAGTCTGTGCAACATGATCATGGGACTGACTCTTATCACCCTGTGTACCTGGGCATATATCCGCTACTCTGGAGAGTATCGAGAGCTAGGTGCTGTCATTGACCAGGTAGCCGCAGCCTTGTGGGACCAGGTAAGAGTTCTTTTAATTTCCTTCAGTTAAATTCTGCACATGGTGAGGAGTGTTGCATTCAATATTAGAATGTACAGGTAAACACCTTGGGCCCATTCCTTATAACTTTACAACATGAGAAAATATGAACAAGTAACTATAGTATGTCCTACACAACTGTTTTTTTTTAAGTTGAAATTTTAGTATTTGGATAAACAACATTTTCACTTTCTAATTCTAAAATGCTAACAGTGTTAGAAGTACGAAAACCAGTTATTTAGCTTCTTGTGACCCTGTGTTTAAACTTATCACTTGACTAGCACTGGCTTTGAAGGCGTACTCGACCTACTATCACTAGTTATCATATTACTCTTTAGTATCACATTACTTCAGGATGTATTTGATCTAGACTTTCACACTAAGCCACAGCATGGGCCAGTGGTCAGCCTCTGAACTAGCTGCTTGTAGGTCAATTGCTTGCCCTTTTAGTTCAGTTAGCTTCAGCTGAGGGACTTAGCTGGCATAATGTACAAACAACTAAGGGCAGCAAGACAGTGGGAAATACACAGAGAACAGTAACAACTGACTACCTTACTCTTCCAGAAGTCTCTTTAGTGACTTACTGAGAATTTAGGGAAATTAAAGGTCACCATTTAATTTTATACTTTAAACCTTTGAACATTTATTGTCTAGAGGTTAGCTAGTAGTAGCATAGCCCCCATCCCCAGCAAGAAGAGCACACTTCTCTATACTCCACAATAGAATGGTCACTAATGGGTTGTGTGCCTTCGAGGAATCAAGCTGAAATAAACTGATGAAAGCACACTGGAAATGAATGAAGCTCATCTGGGCCCAAGCTACTCATTATCTCAAAGTCTCTCATGCACACAAGGCTAAAGACCGGGCTGTCTGTGTAAACCTCAAAACCCTCCTAGTGCACAATATTGTTTTTGGTTTTTTTTTTTTGGTTTTTTTTTTTTTTTTTTTTCGAAACAGGGATTCTCTGTATTGTTTTGGAGACTGTCCTGGAACTAGCTCTTGTAGACCAGGCTGGTCTCCAACTCACAGAGATCCACCTGCCTCTGCCTCCCGAGTGCTGAGCACAATGTTAAAACCTATCAGAAATACAGAACTGGGTTCTTTAAAAATATTTTGGCTGGGCGGTGGTGGTGCATGCCTTTAATTCCAGCACTTGGGAGGCAGAGGCAGGTGGAGTTCTGATAAAATATGGAATATAAACTAAAAAATCTTCAGTATTTGTTCTTAATGCTCACAATTGATATTGCAAATGAAGTTTAAATTTGTTACTAAGCAAGATATAACACTCTTCTTTCTTTTAAAATTGCCTCTGCCACAGGGAAGCACAAATGAGGTACGTTAACATTTTTTTAATTAAGAGTTATATATTTGTAAATGTGATATTCCTAGTTTATAACTGACTAGGTATTATATGCTCTTAAAAAATACTTCTCTAAAATGTTTTTGTGAATTGTTAACATATTCTAAATATTATGTAGGATTTAATTTGCACAAAAGTGTCACTAAAGAGTGCTTGATTTAGTTCCTATGTAGAAAACGTCATGTTTTAAGCTCTAATACGGCATTATTTAACTTCCCCATTGTGGGCAAATACTGGACAAGAGGAAACATGCAGGAGCAAAGGTTTAATTGGCTCAGTTTAGGAAGAGACTGCAGCAGAGAAAAGATAGCAGCTGCAGGCAAGGCGCAGGAAGGATGGGTACTGATGCTCAGCATCTCTCTCTCTTCATTCCCGTTGGGACCACAGCCCATGCGATAGTCTCGCCCACACTGAGGGTGGGTCTTCCCTGCCTACTTAATCTTTCTAGAAGAAACCTCATAGAAATACCCAGATACGTTTCCATAACGATTCCAAGTCCCATAGGTTGACAATGAAGACGGACCATCCGAACTTACATTGTTAAGAAAACAGCTAGAGGGGCTGGAAAGATGGCTCAGTGGTTAAGAAAAGGGGCTGCTCTTCCAGAGGACCTGAGTTCAATTCCCAGCAACCATATAGCAGCCCACTGTTGTTTCTAATTGTAGCCCCATGGGATCTAGTGCCCTCTTCAGCATCCATATATGTTAAATACATTAATAATCTTTCTCTAAAAGAAAACAGCTATAAAGAATCATAAATAACTTCTTGAGAGTAACTACAAATATTGAGCCTTTACCTAGTTCTTAAAAGTACCCCAAAACTACAGACTCCAGAATAAGTGAGTTAGAATTGAGTGCTCAGTGTGTGACAGCCAGAGAGGATAGATCTTACATCCTAGCCAAGAGGAAAAAATAAAAGTACTTAGACTACTCAAAAATGTGCAATATGGAAAAGCATTATTGCTGGGTGTGTTGGCACATGTACATCCCAGTACTCAGCAGGTGGAGGAAGGAAGACCATACATTTGAACCTAACCTTGATCAGTCACATAGTGAAACCCAATCTCAAGAAAAACATAAAATCCTTTTGATTTAAATACCATTAGAATAACACAAGGAATAATGAGAGGTCATTTCAGTGAGGAAAGACTTTTTGAGGTAGTGTTTCTGAACAAGATTCTGTGTGGTCAGAACTGAGCAGTATAAATACAGCAGGAGAACAGTGAAATAAGGGAGCCCAGGTTGGAGAAGCAGCAATACACCTTTAGCTGACCCAGCACACACACAAGAACGGAAAAGTGGCCTGTTCTTAAAAACAGATTCACAGCAAGAAGGTACAGGTCTACATTATCTAAAACTGGTCATATTCACAATGTGAGATATCCACACATCCCTGGGACAAGGGCTGGGAGACAATATTCTAAGAGATGTTTAAGATGAAGTGCAGTCAGAGTAAAAACTTGGGAAGCTCACCCAGGAGCACATGCCAGGGAATTGCAAATATATTTTAAGATGTTAATTCCTGGTCTGTGTTTGTTTTATGTGTGTGTTTCAGCTGCATGTAAGTCTGTGTATGTCTATGCAGTACCCAATAGAGTCAGAAGAGGGCATCAGATCCCTTGGGACTGGAGTTGTAAAACTACCATGTAGATACTGGGAATTGAACCCAAGTTCTTTGGAAGATGAACCAGTGCTCTACCCTGCTAAGCCATCTCTCCAGCCCCTACTAGTCTGTGTTTGATAGAGGATAATGATATAAAGAATATCAATTCAGGACTGAGAAGATGGCTTAGTGGCTAAACCCATTTGCTATCCAAGGGTAAGGACCTGAGTTCAAGTCTCCAGTGGATGTGGTGGCCTACCTATAATCCCTATGCTTAGAAGGTAAAGATGGGATTCTCTGGATAAGCTTGCTGGCTATGACCGGCCAAATTGGTGACAGGACCTGCCTTATATATATTGTGGAGAGCAGTAGAGGAAGAAACCCAACAACTTCTGGTCTCCACCCATACCAACATACTCATGCATGTACCCCATATCAAAAATGTATTGTAAAATGTGACTTCAGCATGCTGAATGTTGTAAGTACTGTAAGGAAAAGAGGGGGAAATTATACCTGTGTGCTTGACGTTGTCACCCCATCCTTACATTCTAGGCTCTCTACAAGCTTTACAGTGCAGCAGCGACCCACAGACACCTGTACCATCAAGCTTTCCCTGCACCAAAGTCAGAACCCAATGAACAACCAGAAAAGAAGAAAATCTAAGTCAATTTACAAAATGCAGGTGCATGACCATTTGTCACTATAAAAGCTTTCATTTCCATGCAAACATTCAAAGTGCTTCCTTCAGAGCAGAGTGAAAACCAAACACCCGAGGACTCCAGCAGCTCAATTCTTTACTTCCGTGATTAATAAGCAGATGTATGTGTGCATGGGTATGTGTTAACGTGCAGTTTCCTGATTTTTGTCTTTAAATACGCTGTTATCATTTCGGGTATTTGTAAATTTGAGGACAGTAGATGTATTCTGCTTGACTTTAATAAGTTGTACTACTGGGTTATAATTAAATATTGTGATATCTCCAGGTTTGGATATGCTCATTTAATTTCTATAGGAAATTTCAGTTATTTTACATGGCTATTTGTTAGCACAGCATAACTCAGCAGGCTTGATTTACTCTATATAATCTCATACATACCACAGGCTCTTATCTTGAAATATACTTAAGAGCTTAACAGTTGCTTTACCAAAAACTATACATTATTTCTTTTATATTTGACTTAATGTAGAATGTAAATCTCTTGATCAAAAGTGCACAAAATTGTTTTGTATATTTATTTGAGTTTCACTGCACTGTATATTTTTTCATTTGGTACACCAAAAATGTATTCTTCATAGGTTTATTCTTTTAATATGTGAACTATTAAACTTTACTCTGGTTCCTAACATTAAAACAAATGCTAACTGACTCTAGCACTATTTGGGGGTGCTGATGGGGCACAAAGGGCTATCTCACTGTAATGTAAGATGCATTCTCTTTCTGAGAAGAGTGGGTACTCAGGGTGGCATGACCATACACTATTTCTGATACCATTTCAAACTTAAAAAACACAAGCTAATTGTATAAGGTACTTTCCAGTTACTTAATTTTAAAAAGTTTAATTGTTTCATGTTTTTCGACAAAGTTTTGCTGTGCAGCTCAGGCTAGCCTTCCACTTGTGACTACCCTGCCTAAGTTCCCAAATCCTGAGGTTACAAGCCTGTGCCACTATCTGCAGCATCCTTCCAGCTCACGCCAACCAGGGCTCTGTATCTATTTCTAAATGACTGAAACCTTAGTGGAGTTTTATTAAGTAAACCAAACCCCTTAGACAAAAATAAAAAGCAAGGTGGGAGGCCATGTGTGGCAGCGCACGCCTTTAATCCCAGCACTCAGGAGGCAGAGGCAGGCGGATCTCTGTGAGTTTGAGGCTAGCCCGGTCTACAGAGTGAGTTCCGGGATAGCCAGGGTTACACAGAGAGATCTTGTCTTGGAGGAAAAAACAAAATGAGGTGAGAGGGGAGAGTAGTAATGAGGGAAAAGGTAATGCCTCTTATCTATCTGGGAGTCCCCAAACAGTCATTAGCTGCCTCAGGAATGGTGTGCAAAAAATCCTAGAGACAGAAGAGTCTGTGCAGTTCACACTGTGCATCATCAGGTCATACTTTAGAAACACCTGGCCTATGCTCAATAAATTCCCTTTCCTTCCCACTGGATCATATTTCAGTTTCAACTCCCTGTTCATATAGACTTCCTGAGCTTGTAGGCCTTCTGAACAGAAAAGCATCAAACATTGTATGTAGTGAATCTAAAACATGGACTCAAGACAGTTTCCACAAAAATATATTTAATAACTTGTTATATAAAATCAAACACAAAATTTAATAATTCAAACTCATTTCTAGCAGGGAGTGCTTGTATTTAGGAAAACTAAAATATATACATATTCACAAACACTTGTAAGCATAACTGAGAAGTTACGAAACGCACAGAATTCTAGATTTACAGCTGGAAGTTCCATAAATTTATCTTAATCAAGTGTTTGGTGCTAATTATGAGCAACTATTAAGTCAAAAGCAAGAAAAATGGGAAGGAATGACCTGTTTATAAACCTTTATGACAAATACTTCTCCAAGATAAAAAAGGCAATATACAAGTGATCAAGATTTCTTACTGGATCCCTGATTGTCATTTTTGGCAACTTAGCCTAGCCTGGTGGAAGGCATTGTACTATGTGGTCAGGGAGCCTGTGTTGTGTCTCACCAGAGCCTTGCTAACTGGAGCTGTGGGCTCTGGCTCAAAGCAAGGAAGCAGTATCAGCAACAGTGGCACACACCTTCCCCACACAGGCTAAGGCCTTCTTTAAAGGGACTGCTGAAAGGCTCCATCGCCCTGCTTACATTAGGGAGCAGGATGAGTGGATGACCACATATATCACATACAAGTTCATCGCAATAAAGGTTCTGAGTCCTATTTCATACTTCGAACTATACCCATAGTAATGGTCAATCCACTTTATTCCAGAAATGTGGTGATATTTTGTTTATGATCTAACAAATAAAGCTTGCCTAAAGATCAGAGTGCAAAGCTAGCCACACTAGTTAGCCATAAAGGCCGGGCAGTGGTGGCACACACCGTTAATCCCAGCACTAGGGAGACAGAGGCAGATGGCCACCCTGAGCTACAAGAAATTGATCCAGTCAAAAGAGAAACAGCTCACACAAAGGTGATCCCAGCACTTGGAATGACACACCTTTAATCCCAGCACTATAGAGGAATATAAGGCGGGAGGAGACAGGAGCTCAGTGCAGTCTGAGGATGCAGTGCAGCCTGAAGACAGGATCACACTTCCGCTCTGAGTGTTGGTAAAGGTTAAGAACTCTCTACTAGCTAGCTGCTTTGCTTCTCTGATCTTCAGTTTTCACCCCAATATCTGTTTCTGGGTTGTTATCATCCATGCTACACAGAAAGTACTTCACACCACAATAAGCAACTTTTCAAAACTGTGCTCTCGCCTTCTTTTTTCTGAACAAGCAGGGTGTATTCCGTAAGAAGGAAGAGTGATTGACTGCTCAATGCCTGGGTATGATGATGATCTCTTCCTGTACTCCTTTTCATCATGAATATTCAAAGCAGTTTCTTAATACACAGCATTTGGAAGCATATGCCATACTGGCTCTTTAAATGATAAAATTTTTTGGTTCAATAAAAGAAAAATTTGGTAACAAAATATATGTAAAACTAGAATTTTATAATTCCAAATAGTAAATTGCCTTTATTAACCAAAGTACTTGTTTGCAGTCATTTATCTGAAACTTTTAAAGCTCTTACAAAACTTGTGATAAAGTTAACTTAAAAACTTCTTGCCATGATGCTGGGCATACCACTGCTGTCTCTGCTTGCGGTTTTCCAACTCAGTGAGAAGAGCCTGTCTGTAGGCCTCGTACATCTTAACAATCTGCTCCAGTTCCTTCATGAAGAGCAACTTCAGCATTCCCTGGTAGGTGTCCAGGTCAGCTAGCTGGAAGAGCTCCCACTTCAAAATGTGGTCATATCTATCATAAAACAGATGTTCATAACATAATACATAAATGTGCATCCACAACAATAAACTGGTATATTTTTATAGACATTTTGCTATAAGTAAACAGACTAAGTTTTATTTGAAAATAGTTGAGTTAGTAAAACTTGCTATTTAGATAGCTGGGGACCTAAGCTGACCTTGAATTCCTGGGCTCAGGATATGCTCTTGCCTCACCCTCCTGAGTAGCCAGGAATATAAGAACACGCTAATACACATGGTTCTACATATACTACTTTTCCTCTTCCCTCTTTTTAAAATTCATTTACATCTTTTTATGCATATGAATGATTTGCCTGCATGCATGTAATTGTACTGTGTGCATGCCTGGTGCATAAGAAAGTCAGAGAAGATGTCAGATCCCCTGGAAGTCACCATATGGTTCCTGAAAACTGAACCAGGGTACTCTGCAAAAGCAGCAAGCATTCTTAACTGTTCTCTCTCTAGCCCTAAGTACATTTTTTAAAACTTGAGAGAAATTTTTAAAGATTTGTATGTGTATGGGTGTTTTTGCCCACATGATGTGTCTGTGCACCTCACGCATGCCTGGTGCCCATGAAAGTCAGAAAAGGGCACTGACTACATCCCTTGGAACTGGAATTTCAGACAGTAGTGAGTGAGCTGCCATATGGATGCTAGGAACCGAACCTGGGTCCTCTGCCAGAGCAGCCAATGATCTTAATTGAGCTATCTATCTCTCCAGCCCCAAACACACTATTTTTTAAGGAATGGGGGGAAAAACTGCTAGATATTACTTCAGGTTAAAGAATGCCCATTTAGTTTAAGACTCAATTTTAGTATTAATCCTAGGCAATCATAATATCAACTCCAGACCATAATGATTCTGTCATTTCCAAAAAGCACATCCTATGCTCTTATAAATCCATTCAAAGTTAGTGTTGGGAACTTTCAATACATCGGGGCACACTGTGCTTCCCAGTGATAATGCAGAAAAATGGGCAAAGTCACTGGTGTCCTCAATGCTGACAGATGTACATGAGGGACACTGTTCACTATTGTAAACAAGGAACCAGAAAAAGAGGATGAATCCCTATTTGTAGGCCAAGCATTCCTGAGGAGTAACTACAATGAAAACCCAGGAAAATGGCTTTGGAGAGATGACTCAGAGGTTAAGAGTATGTGCTGCTCTTGCAAAGGACCTGAGTTCAGTTCCCGACACACCAGGTGACTACAACCCCCTATAACTCCAGCTACAGGAAATCCAATATTTTCTTTTGGACTCAAATACTACACATATGTGTGTGCACAAATACACATAATTAAAAATTTTTTAAATTCAAGCAAAGAACTCTCAAAATGAGAGACAAACTGAAGAAAGCTCCACAATGTGACAAATTGGTTATACTTATGTGTGTCTTGGAAGGCCTCTAGTCCTCCTTCAGGGCTTAAGTGACTCAGGATGAGTTGGAACTACAAAACCAACTACTAAAGTAGTTAACTTATTTTTAAAGGGACGAGAATAAAAGACAACAATCTAATTCAGTTTTCTTATTACAGATGAAAAGTCTGAAAGCTCAAAAAATAAAATACCTAATTACCTCTTGCAAAAATGTTTAGTGATGTAAAGGCAGGGTTCTTTGGACCAAGAAGCTTTAGAATTAGTTTTCAGGGTGAATGTCCATTATTAGAGGAATGTGAACATAGCAAGTCTTTCACCTATGTTATGTTAATGTCATCTCTCAAATCACTGCAGGGCAGACATAAAAGGAAGTTTTAATTATGAATTCTAGTGGATTTATTTTTAATAATCACTTATGTCCTACCTAGTGGGTACATTTGCCATTTTATTCCAAAAGGCTCGCCCATCTAATATTCAAATATGTATGGCGTCAAAAACAAGATACTGAGCAGTTACTGCAAGCTTCCCTGTGCAGCACAGTTGCAGCTGTCTTAGGTGTGTGCGTCAGGAACGTCAGCAAAGCCACGAGAGCATTTCACTGGACTTCTACTTTTATTCTGTTCCTTGAGGATTGAAAGCTTACTAACATGAGACTACTTTCTTTGCAAAAACCTGGATATTCTCTTTTCTGGGCAATCTAACTCCTGTGAACAGGAACTAGAGTTGCACCAAGAAGCAGTCACAGCTCATGTGTTTCCCAGAAATCCTGTCTCTCAGGTAGTTTATTTACTCTCTGAAATAAACTCTTAATTCCTAACAAAGAACTTAATCTCCAAGTGTGTTCTGCTTTGTTTCATCAGCGTACCAACTCTTACCTGGGTTCTCTTTTGGTTATAAGTACTGCATCAACTTACATGTTAATCTTATAAAAATATAAAGAAAACAACAAAAAATTAAGCTTGTCCATATTTAGTATTCTTATGTATCCATTATCAGAGGTCTATACACACAGTAACGAGGACTCAGACTTTTTTGGAGAATTCTTACTTCTCATCCAAGAGTCAACCTTTACTTTTTTCCCCCCAGGCACAGGGTTTCTCTTTGTAGCCCTGGCTATCCTGGAACTCTATAGCCCAGGCTGGGCTTGAATGCATAGAGATCCACCTGCCTCCACCTCCCAAGTGCTGTGATTCAAGGTCTGCACCACCACTGCCCAGCTAAGCTTGGTACTCCTTAAGTTGAGCTTGTTAGAGATCCGAAAGATGCTGGTGCTATATGTTCACTTACTTCACAGGGGCTCGGGCATAAACCTGAAGCCAGTCAGGGATTTCTGCAGTATGATAAGGATTTGCAGGAACCAGGAGGGACTGATTTCTTTCAGTTTGCTGTGGCTGGTATGTGATGGGAGGAGGCTGATCATACCGAGGTACACTGAAAAGAAAGAACTGACATTTAATAATACACAAGCCCTTCACCTAGGACAGAAGTATCATGACCAGACAGCTTTTAAGGCTCTTCAATGTGCTTTTTGGCCAAACTATCTTCCACCCCTAACAGAACTTTCTATGGTAAGGGTCTAAGCATTTTTTTTTTAACTATACTGTATGGATATATACTCCATCTTCTTTAGGAAGCTGAAATGCCGCTAGTGATAGATAAACACCCAAGTTAAGGGGGGGGGTGTTGGTAGATATGGGCAAGGGACAGCTCCCATTGCAGCCTGCCTTGATCCCTGGGCCTGAGTCCCATCCCGGCACCTCCTTTCCTTTGCTTATTCCTCAGCCCCTCTGGTGTCCGGTCTCCTTTGGCCCAAAGGTCCCCCTGTGTGCCCCCTCCCCCAGCTGCTCTCTGCATTCCCAATTCTAGCACTTCTCCTTTGGTTAGCAGTCAGGCCTGACCCACACACAAGTGGGATGTGTTGATAACTAGGTTGCACCTGAGGAGGTGGGGTGAGCCAAGGGGCTAGGTGAGGCTTTACTGGAGGATGTGTGTCACTAGGGGTCGGCTTTGAGGTTTCAGAAGCTCAAGCCAGGTCCAGTGTCTCACTTTCTGCTATGTGTGGATCGAGATGTAGAACATTCAGCTAACTCTTCAGTACCATGTCTGCCTGCTTTGTCTTAGTAGTCTTAAGAAATTAAAGCAAACAGACTTAAGGTTTTTTTTTTGTATTGAAAATAAGCTATGACTCTATGTTCAGCATTCCTGGAAGCAGGTTAACTATGTTTTTAAATTGTTACACTTCACACCTTTTTGATATCTGCCCTACAAAGTTTGGCTTACTATGTCAAAGCCATGACAATTTGTTCTTGGATGTGATTGTATTTTCAATTTCTTGTTCATGTGAAATTTTAATAAGACTTAAAAAATCTATTAAAAAAATAAGCAATAGCAAAATCCAAGTTAGTCCCTTCTGTATTCATTCTTTTTAAGGAAAGCTTCAAAGGTTATAAAAACCTGTGTCTTAGTTTTAACCTTTATACTAAGCTTAAATTATAAGCACAGATTTCTGCAAATAACTAGTCATTTTCCAACATATATATTGGAAAGGTCTATAGTGTTTCTCAGCAGAAAACGAGGTTTCTCTTCCTCCCACTGACTGAAAAGGTAAGGCTGGGAGTAGGCAGCACAGCAGGACTGGGCACTGTGCTGGGTCAGGAAAACAACTGGGAGTGGACTAGAGCCTGCTGTAAGTCAGAGAATTAAAAAGGACCAGGGAAGAACAGCTATATAGAAGTGAGATGTTCCTAGAAGGATACTATGCAAAGTACTCAACACCTGCAGGCTACAGAGTGAATTCTGGGAAACCAGACTGAACTATTTCAGGCATGACAAAACTGAAATGAGTCTACCTGTCTCTAAACACAAAAGACATGTGAACATAAAAGAAGGTCACTGCTTTCTTAATTGGCACTAAAATAAGGTCTGGATTATACTATGGTTAACAGATCAGTTTAAGATTGTGTGTGTGTGTGTGTGTTTGTGTGTGTGTGTGAGTGTACACGCGCGTGCACATACCCTACCCATGGAGGCCAGAAAAGAATATCAGATACCCTAGAGCTGGAGTTACAGGCCACTGTAAGACACCTGACAGGTGCTGGGAACCAAACTCAGGACCTCTGAAAAAGCAGCCAAGTGTTCATGGTGACTGAGCTATTGTTCCAACCCCATCAATTTAAAGATAACATGAAAATTGCACTAAATGTATTTTCAACATTCTTAATAAGTGTGTTCAAAGGGAAATAGCAATTGATACCATATGCTTTAAAATCAAATATGCCTGTGTTTTGGTTGTTTTATTGTAGTCTTGAGGCCAAGTCTCACTACCTAGAACTCTCTATGTAGTAAAGGCTCCCCAGTACTAAGACTGAAGGTGTGAGAAACCATGGCCAGCCAGTGTTTTAAATCAGTCTAACCACCTACAACTTGTAAGAAATGTGGGTAGAACTGCCTTTACTTTACCTCCGTTATTGTAAAAGTAGACACATAAATCCATATCCCAAATGACGTTTACAAGTTCTATGTAAAGACTGTCATATGGTAGAACAGCTATTAATACTACTCTGCGTACTGGGGGGTACGGATTCTCTTCTGCCTAAAGTCTACAGAGCTGTTGAGAGAAACAATCCTTTGGAAAATTGTTTAACAAATCACCAACACTCTACAACAATATAGGTGTGTAAACAGAATAACCTTTCAAATCTGATGCTACTCTGTGATTGCAAGCCATAACCATGGGCTTAGTTCTTCAACAACTTCATGAAGTCATTCAATAAAGCTAAGTGCTAAATGTAACAGACTACATAAAATGTTTAAAGTAATACACAGATAATGTTATCCCTGTAGATAGTTATTCTAAAATGTATTTTCAGCCGGGCGTTGGTGGCGCACGCCTTTAATCCCAGCACTCGGGAGGCAGAGGCAGGCGGATCTCTGTGAGTTCGAGACCAGCCTGGTCTACAGAGCTAGTTCCAGGATAGCCTCCAAAACAATACAGAGAAACCCTGTCTCGAAAAACCAAAAAAAAAAAAAAAATGTATTTTCATGATTTTAATGGTTCTAAAAAATTATAGATATACACCATAGCCAACAAACTGTATTAGGCCAGATGACCCTAAGCAGTTACATATCAATGTGCTTATATTTTACCCACTTGTACATTCTTACAGCTTAAACATAATGTGAACTATTTGCTTCACTGTTAAGTTAATATAGTTTTATATGTACTTTGAAGTACAGTGTCTATTTTACACTTATAGCAGTCTCAATTGGATTAATCAAGTTTCAGTTGCTCAATAGCCACATATGAAAACTGGCTACAGTATTAGAAAACGTAAGGCTTAAGTATCATTCAAAATAGCCCAAAGAATTGCTGGTTATATTTATTTAAAAGCTACACTGTTTTGTTCCATTCCAGCTTTTACTTCAATAAGCAAACACCATAAAATCTTGTCTGAAGTTGAATAAAAACAGCAATATAATGTCAAAATTTCAAAGTATATTCTGACTTACTAGAAATGTGGGTCTGACTGATGGGAATTTATAAAGAGACAGGTGATGTATTAACTTTAATTTCTGGGTATCTACAACAAAAACATTCTGGCATCTCTTCTAATTGGAATCTGATTTCAAAGATACATTTGTTTCAGAGAAAATACTTTTAAAAACTTACTAATTATTAAAATCATTCATTACAAAACTTATCTAGGATAAATATAAACTTTGAAAAATAACTATTTAAAATCTCAAGCTTCAAGACGCTTATCTCTTAAAAAGATGTGAGACATGACTCAAAATCTAACACAAGACTCAAAACCAAAAATGAAACTGCTGCTTTACCTGGGAGCACAGGGGTGCCTGTACTGAGCCCTTTTATTTGTGTGATCCACATAATAGGTTCCAAATTCTGAGGACTCTACTCGTTCCCATCCAGGAGGAAGTCCTTCTCGTTCAAGAGGATGACTCCAATGAGTTGTGTTTGTGTTATGATCTATGTAGTATTTTCTCCCTCTCATTGTCCAGTCCACAGACCAGCCAGGGGGAAGGGGTAAATCTTCAGAACCATGGTTAGTTAAATTCCCAAGAGATGTAGCAGCAACTCTCCCAATACCTGAAAAGAAAATGGAGTAAGTATTCAATTATCCATTAAAATGTAGGATGTCACTATAAGATTGCCACAAAATTAGCCATTACTATTAAATTAGAAAGAACTGAATTGTGAAACAAATATGAGTTTTGTCTTATTTGAATCTTCCATCACCTTATTTGTACTGCTAAGGGAAAAGTGAAGAAAGGAAAAAAAAATCTCAAGATTTAAGATTTGAAATTTCGTCTAAAAATTTTTTAAAAGCAAAAATAAAATTATAAAATCATTTCCAGTTCATAATGTTTTAGAAGAATCTAGCTATGCCCTAGAATTATTAAGATTATCAAAGCAGGTCATACAATCAATATGCAAATAAGTCAAATAGCCACATGTTGCCCACAACTAGAAATAGAAGTTAATGAAATAGTACCAGTAAGATGCTCTAAAAATCAAAGTCAAGTTTCCAATTAATTATATATTTTATATATTCAGCTAAACAAAATGTTTAACTTTAAGGAATGACAATAAACTCGTCTTTCAACTCTTTTGAAATTATACTGACAATCTTAATATACTGAAATACCAGAGTGCCTGCTTAGAAGAGCAATGTTTCTTTCAATCACTTCAGTATCTATGAAAACAGCAATGACAAAAATAGTTTAGAAGAAACAGTAAGATTAAGGTATGCTTGAATAGAAATTCAAACTGAAATTCTGTAAGATAAAATGTAAATTCATAATAAATATAGGTTATTGGCAGGTGTTTTAAAAACTATTCACTAACACATCCCTGCAACACAGTCTATAGAAAGGTTAGAGATGACCCATACTGACATAGTAGATGATTATGCTACTGGATGCCTAGGTCAGAGCAGAGTACTGGACTGCACAGCTACACTCATGAAGACGCTCTCTACTTTCTACCCTGAAGATTAAGAGAGACAGTCAGGCAATAATCCCAGCACTAAGACTCTGGAAGAAAGAATGCCACAAGTTTGAGGTAAGCCTAGGCTGCACAATGAGTTCTAAGTAGCTTAGGCTACAGAGAGGTCTCACCCCACCCAAAACAAGTGAAAAAAAGTGCAGGTAATATGCTTCCTTTATACTGTCATACTTAAAATAGTCCTGGGCCCCGCCGTCCCAGACTTCCTGGTATTCACCTGTCTCTGTGAGCAGTAATTTATAGCAGAAAGGCTGGTACGTGACGCCTGATACTAAGATACAGAAGACCATGAAGCTTCTTTTTCTCTAGGAATTTTTTTGTTTTTGTTTTTTCTTTCCAAGGAAACGCACGGAAGATCACCTTTTAAATCAAAATATCAGTAAGTATAAACCAGTATGCTATTTACTATGTCAAGTTACCTGAAGTGTGCCTCCCCTGATTCTGTGGCATTCTTTGGAAGAGATCATGGTTGTATTCATAATATCTGTAGTCTTCTTGTGCACGATCTCCAAGTGGCCTCCTTCTCTGACCATCAAAAAAGTTATCTGAATAAAAGTATCGGGAACCAGAGTCTCCATTTTCAACAGCAAAACTAACTTCTGTTAAAAAGGACTGTGATGAGCCACACTCTCGAGGAACATCTGCTAGGCTCCTGACAAGGGAAGAAGAAGGTGCAGACAGTCTGTTGCTTTCTCTTCTCATTACTTCGTGAGGCGTCCTTTGAATTGGAGTTCTCAGAAAACTCTGGTTTCTAGAAACTACTCCATCACCAGAAGCTGAGAAAGCATTAGAGCTTGAGTCTGGAAGACAGATATCAGTCCGTCTTGGAATTGTTGGACCATGCCGAATGAATGAAGGCATGAGATCTACAATCAAACAGAGTATCACCATTTCAATAAGTAAGTACACTCTTCCAAAGTTATTATGTTAAAATAACAAAGGGCTCCAGAAAACAAAATTTATAACCAACTGAGCTAACCGGCCAAGTCCAGAAAACAAAATTTAAATTAAGACAATATTAGTACTTTAAGTTGAGAATATTTTCCCAAGCAAGTAAATGTATGATCTGCATTAATATGCTATGTGTAAGCTGAACTGATGCTGTATATTGTCATACAAAATATGATACAATGTCAGTGAGATTGAAAATAAGCTAACAAATCAATGCAGTCAGCAGCAGCACGTAGGACAGTAGTTAGGTTTTCACTTGATTTTAGTATTGCCAAGAATCTTTGTTCCTGAGAACACAGTTTCCTTACAATAAAAAAAAGCTCCTCCAAAAACATGCAAAGGCAAATTTCCTTTAAAAGATTTTAAATTAACAGTTTTGTCTTTCTACTCTCAGAATTACCCAGTTCTAGGCACAATGATCAAAACTATAGAGCAAAACTGTTCAGTGTGGAAATGGAAAAATAAAATAATCTAATTCCAAAGATGCACACAAATGTTGAGTCTACTGAAAAATAATAAGCCTGGAATTATAATTATGGCTCCTTTAAGAACAGCTAATTCCAAGCAAGACAATGGATTACAGAAAACAATGTGTGAACAGCTTAGATTTTCTTAGCTAGAAGGCCTGAGAGATGGCTCAGCAGTTAAGATTTTCTAAGCAAGAAAGCAAATACCTTTAAAACATGAAGAAACCTGGGCATTTAGCACATTTTCTTAATTCATTAAGTAAGCGACACTGAGAAGTGTCAGAGACTAACACCAGAATATCTTAATTTTGGAATAATTAATAGTTGATGACAGAAACTCTATTAAGATTCAACTCAACGTGTTGCATGGTTTCAAGTAATGTTTAACAAATTTTATTTGCAGCAAAAAACAAGTTATCACCTAAAAACAGAAAAGCAAGCAATTAAAACTAAAGTTTCAAGTTACTGACATACCCACCCGACCAACTTTGTCGTAAAGCCCTACAATTAATGTAACTTGTAAGGCTAGACACATGGTTACAATGAAAAACTAAGTCTCTCCACCACTTTCTGCGTGATCTTGGGCACTAGGAAGATCTGTGAACAGCGTTCCCAATTACAATATGAGGTAATGCTTAATTTAAGTCACACGGTTACTACCAGCTTCCAAGAAGGAAACGCACATTACACAAGGGGCCCAGCTCCTAGAATGAGAACCAAATGATTAGCTCCTTCTCTTAGAACTATTCCGAATACACGGGAATTTTAAAAAGAAAATCAAGGCGTTCAAGTTTAAAAACTCAAGAGTCAACTCTTTCAAACGGAAAAGAAAAGCTATGAGAGGAGACGGAACATACCCCTTTGGAAACAGGAGGGAGAAAGTAACTTGTCTGCTGTGGCAGAAATTATTCTGAGTACCTTGCTTTTTCGGAATTTTAGGAGCAAAACCTAATCCGACTACTTTAGTGGTTCGTCTGCTCTGAGATAGGAGGCGGCTCTGGGTAGCGGCTACAAGTCCGTGTCCCGCCGCAGGGCTAAGGGGTGTCCAGTCTGCTGTGTGTGCTACTTGGGGCGCCCGCGAGGGTCGCAAACACCGGGCACGCCCCGGTCGAAGCACTTCTTCTCCAACACCAGGCATGCATAGCCACGCATTCCCCAGAGTCTGCCTTCCAAGCGCCACCCGGGGCTCCGCCGGGTCCCCCACCCGTCACCGCCCCGCGACACTCACTCCGCAGCAGGGGCGACGTCTCCTTCTTCACGTACTTGCCCTGCACCTCGGCCGGCTTGGACACCTCGTTTTTGGTTTTCTTGCGGGACAGCATCCTCACGGACGACGCCCGCCGCCGCCGCCCCAGCAGCCTCGCTAGGGCCGCGCGCCCGCCGCCCGCCGCCGCCTCCCGGGCCGGCGCCGCCTCCGCCTCGGCTCTCCGCCGCCCGCGCCCGCCCGCAAGCTCCGCCGCATGTTGGCGGCGCTAAACGCGCCCGCCGCCGCTCAGTCGCAGGGCAGCTCCTCCCGCGAATCCAGCCGGCTCGGCGACGTCGCCCGGGGCCGCCGTGACGCAGGGCCGCGGGCGCCCGCGAGGGCCATGGTCCGCCGCCCGGAGCCGCTACCGCTGCGGCCACCGCCTACGTCCGGTAAACTTTCCCCGCGCCGCTGGGAATGCTGGGAAAGCCGACGCCGCGCCAGCCGCCCCTCCCCCGCCGGGCGCGGGCGCGGCTGCGTGCGGGGACTCGCGGCCGACGGCTAACGGGCCACGGGCCGGGCCGGGCCGGGCGACCCCCCGCGGCCCTCAACGCGGCTGCGCCGAGCGGCTCCCGCCGCTGAGGAGCCCAAGTCGAGGCCGGCCAGAGCCCGCGGGCCGCGCAGCCGCCCTCGCCTCCGACCTGACCGCCCTACCCAAGGCCCTGCTGCCCTCAGCGGCGTCCTCGACGCTGGGTGCCCCGGGCTGACGAGGACGCCGAGCGGCGCGACCGCCAGAGCCTCACCTGGTCACCGGGATGCCTCTTCTGGTGACAGCGTGACTGACTGCCACATAAACTGAGTCTCTCCGCTTCTTCTGCCCTCCCCCTCATTCCCTTTCTCCCCCTCTCCCTTCCCTGGGTCCCCTGCTCCGGTTTTCGGATTAAAAAGACAAGACAAACGAGAAGATGGAGTTTCTGCAACTCCTAAAATAAATCTGACGTTAATATTATGTTAACTAAGCCGGGCGGTGGTGGCGCGCGCCTTTAATCCCAACACTCGGGAGGCAGAGGCAGGCGGATCTCTGTGAGTTCAAGCCCAGTCTGGTCTACAAAGTGAGTTCCAGGACAGCCTTCAAAACAATAAATAGAAACCCTGTCTCGAAAAAAAGGAAAAAAAATTATGTTACCTAACCATTTTAGTAGTATACTTAGTAACCAGGTGTTTTCTCTTGCAGTCCAGTACTGAGGCCTTTGAGCACCGGCGTTCAGAACTGGGAGTTTTCTAATACAGCGGAGTCTACTTTGTTCTCTATAATGCAGTCAGGTATACAGAATAATCCTTGGATGGGATTCATCCGTCTTGACCGAAGAGAATGTTTTCCCTGGTGCTTAAAACACAGAAGCAAAACAATCACATAACAAAAGCACGTGGTTTCCTTACATAAGACACCAAAAACTGGTCAAATTTTGTTTAGCCAGGCACAAAGGAGACATTTCATCAGTTGTTTGTCATCGCGTTTTCATGGCTTCTCATTGGAGGTCCCTACAATTCTATACCAAATATTTATTAAGCACATCATGTAAGCGCTGCCTTAGGTGTCTGAGAAGACAATAAAAGTCCCTGCTATTGTGGAGACGACAGAAGGAGACTAGTAAAACATAGTGTGTTGGATGATGAGTGCTTAAGTAAGCATAAACAAGTGAGATTTCACAGTTTTGGAAAAAGTGACCGAATAACAAAGCTCTGAGAAGGCAATGCAGGAATAAACTTGCCATGCAGCTGTCTGGAGTGAGACTTCCCAGCAGAACAGCAAATACAGAGTCACTGCAAGTGGTCCTGTTTCGGGTCAATTGCAGGAACAGAGAAGAGTGATGGGAAATGGAGTTCCCTAGTACCCAGTTAAGTATTCCTGTAGTTCAGATAAAAGTGTTGGTAGAGGACAATAAACATAACTGTGGGGTTTAGTAAACTGAAGAATTTGAGGGTGGGAGGCCAAGGAGAAAGGGGCCGCCATAGAATTCCCAAGGCTGACCTCAGAATAAAATTATATTGTTGGGATCCTGTTATTAGCGATAATTCTTAATACCCGGGGCTTTCCAGAGAGTGAAATAAAGGATGCTTTCTACATTGATGAAGGGAGGAATTGTAAGGTTTTGTAGCTGGATAGGAATTCTGAAGTCAGCTATGCTAATCTCATGAAAAATAATACATGGTGCCTTAAATTACCTTCCTGTTCAGTGGCAGAATGCATTAGTCACTTTTCCCATTACTGTGACCAAATGCCTGGAAGAAACAGTGTAGAGGAGAGAAAAAACAGTGTAGAGGAGAGAAAACTCATTTAGGCTTATGGTTTTAAAAGGTTCAGTCATGGTCACTTGGCTTCGTGTTTCTGGGCCCGTTGGGGACAGCCTTCATCATTGCATGACATACCAGAAGCAGAGAAACTGGAAGGTATTTTGGACAAATTACTTCAATGACTCCATCCCCTTATGGCCTACTTCTTTAAGCTTGGCCTTGCCTAAGTTTCTAGACCCTTCAATTGTTCCAGTGGCTGAAGACAAAGCCTAAAGCCAGGTATGGTGAGCAAACCTGTAAACAATCTCAATACTTAAGGGGTTGGCAGGAGGAACAAGATTTCAAAGTCAAGTCAGCCTTTGCTAATGAGAGCCTGTCTCAACAAATCAACAAAACAAAGCAGTGAGCCTGGGGAGAACATTTCCTATTTAACCATAACAAAGCCAGCATCAGCACTGGAGTACTATACTCCCTTCGTGGGCCTTTTTCCTGCTGTAGCACGTTTAAAACCCAATAACCTGAGTCCAGACAATTTCTTAACACAGTTGTTTTGAAAGCCATCCACATTCCCTACAAAGCATTCTCTTTTCCAAAGCCATTCAATTCTTTGAATTACGGCAGAGAAAGCCTCAATTAGGTGCTTTCTTTAAGACCTATAATTTGTCTTTTTACCAAGGAGGGTTCGTTCCAGAATCAACAGTCTATAGGCAGCAGTAGCAGTGCTTTGAATCCAGATTCTGAAATCCAGAGGCTTTGAGTTCACATCTGTGTTCTAAAAATTCCTAGACTTCTGGGAATGGCATTGAGGCAACTAGGATTGGCAGCTATAATTCTTCAGACATTGCTGCTGATAATGCTAGTACTATGTTGCATAATAGAAGTATTTTCTCATTGAAATTACATTCTCCGTAGAGAAATACCAGTTGAGGAACTGTATCAGCAGCAATTTTAATTAGAAAATGCAATTTGACAGCCGGGCGTTGGTGGCACATGCCTTTAATCCCAGCACTCGGGAGGCAGAGGCAGGCGGATCTCTGTGAGTTCGAGGCCAGCCTGGTCTACAGAGTGAGTTCCAGGACAGCCTCCAAAGCCACAGAAAAACCCTGTCTCGAAAAACCAAAAAAAAAAAAAAAAAAAGAAAGAAAATGCAATTTGACTATTTGATTTTTCAAGGTTAGTAATGTTTTAGCTTAACACTTTGTGCCACATATGAAAAGGCAAAAATGTATATCAATAGGTATATAAATTGGTTTTTTAATTTTAAAAAGATTTTACTGTTTTCATAAAGACTTACTGGAGTATTAAAATGTTAATGTTCTAGAAAATCAGACTCTCATTCCAACTAGCTCTCAAGAACTTAAGTTGTTTATGCTGTTTTGATTTCCTTTTACAAGATGCAAATAAAAAGGAGTGAGCTAGAAACATGGCTCAGTGGTAAAGAGCATTTGTTGCTCTGCAGAGGTCCTAGGTTCGATTCCCAGCACCTACGTGGCAGCTCACAGCGCTCTGTAACTACAGTTCCAAAGAGATCAGATGCTTTCTTCTGGTCTTCCAGAGCACTGCACACAGGTCGTACACAGACACATGCAGGGGAAACACCCATATACATAATAAATATTTTAAAAAATCAAATGGGCATATTATCTAATAAGTGTCCAGCCCTTTGGTTTCTCTGGGCCAAAGCGAATGAAGAACTAAGTGTCTTGGGACGCATATGCTGGGGCAAGGGAAATGGCTCAGTTTGTAAAGTCCTTGTGCAAACATGGGGACCTGAGTTTGAATCCCCAGCTCTACAGTGAAAAGCTGAGTGTGGTTAAGTGTTGGGGAATATTATTTTAAGGTGTGTGATTTTTATATCGCATTTGTTTAACTCTACGAAGCTGTGTGCCTGTCTAAAACACCAGTTGGTCCTAATGAAGAGCTGAATGGTCAATAGTGAGGCAGGAGCAAGGATAGGTGGGGCTGGCAGGTAAAGAGTATGAATAGAAGGAGAACCGAGAAGGACAGAGCAATGAGAGGACACCAGCCACAGAGTAAGATTTACAGAAGTAAGAGAACAAGAAAAGTCCAGAGGCAAAAAATAGATGGGATAATTTAAAGATAAGAAAAACTGGCTAGAGACAAGTGAAGCTAAGGCTGAGCCTTCATGAATTTGGGTGCTGAAAAAAGACAAAAGAGCAAAACATAATGTAATAGTTGAGGGTGTCTGTCATACCGGTGCTGGTTGGGCAGAGACAGGTGGATTTTAGGAGCTTGAAGATCTAGTCTAGCTGAATGAGCTTCAGGTTCAGGGAGAAACTTTCACAAAAACAAGGTCTTCAGAGCAATAGAGTATGATACCACATGTTGACCCTTGAACTTCACACACACAAGCATATACAGGTATACAGCATATGTACACACACATTTTTTTAAGTGCTGAGATTGGTTGTCCCTAAACTTAGCTCTTATTCCAGATTGTTGCTTGCTATTGTTCAGAAAATAGTTTTGAGTGTCTCTAAAAGGTCTATGATGAAGACCTTTTAGACCTTCACCAATTGAAAATGGTGAAGCTTTGGTTATTATGGGTATGCCCTCCAACTGTGAGGTTCTCCCCACTTTCAATTGTCTTCCCCTTCTCTCCCTCTTTTTTCTTCCTTCTGCCTCCTTCTTCTCCTTCCTTCTACCACTCCATCCTATATAGATGAGAGCTATATAGATGGCCTCTATATGAATTCCTTCCTGCCATAGTGTGCTCTGTCAGAATTGAGCTGATGCAAGAGCCATGCCTTTGAATATCTAAATTTGTTAGCCAAATAAGTTTTCTTTCTCTTATGAGTTTGTTGCCTTGGGCATTTCATCACAGTAATGCAAGTCTGATTTGTATAATACTGTTATTGCCTAGATTTAGAAAGCATCCAAAATTCTGAAAGTCAGTGATTCTTACTCTTGGCA